TCTAAGGCGCTGCATTCAAGACTTGGTCTTACCTGTTTACCAGGGTATTCTGCAGTATCGAAAGATTCTTGGGTTCGAATCCCAATCTTGACAAGCATCAATCTTTTTTCTATTTTTAATCCATCTTATCTTGTTTGCGGAGTTGTTGCCGTGTAGGCAAAGTAGTCCTAATACCTTGTCAAAAATGTCAATATCTTCAGAAACCTTATCGGATGGTGTGAGATTGTTTCTCGGCGACCACGTCAATCGGGGAGAGTCTTGCATCTTGGTTCTATTTCGAGATATGTTTGACAGTCTTTGTCATCGATGAGTAACTGGAGTACGAGAAAGTAGCGCCATGGGTAGATTTGATGCTTTGAGCAACGTGACTGGTCTTAATTTCTGGCTCTCCATGGTAGAGCTTTTTGTTTGTGACCTGAGTTATTGCTTGAGTCTCTGGGTCGAACTTGGGTAAAGAGGTCTGACCCTCGGCGCGCTTGATTTCATTTGTCATGAGGAAAGTGGTTGCTTTTCCCCGCCAGTGGTTTGAGGGTAGGTGACCTTATAGATGGGTAATAAGTGACAGGGAGAGGGAAAGTTTTAAACAGAATTAGTAAAGGATAAAGAGTGTTTTATAGCTGGAGTCAAAGATTTAGTAGCTATTGAGCTTCAGTGCTCGCCAAAGTATATACTTATTGTCTTTTGTGGTAGCTTTAGAAACTGAGCCCCCTTCGGCTTTATTTTAGTCCAATTTGTAAAGGCTCGGTAGGATTCAATCACCTCATGAGTTCTGTCCTACCATCTAAATCTTTTCTTTTCTTTCTTATACTATCCCTCTGGATGACTAAAGTATAACTAATCAGCAAAATGATCGGAAACGGGGATTTGAAGTTTATTGCTTAGCTCAGTATGTCTTGACAAATATCTTCTGTGTATGGCTTATCACTTCACAACGCCTCGCCATCATTAGGTCCCGGTACCGCTAATCAACACTTAAATGCCTTGCATACCTACGCCGCTCCACCAGGCCGCCCATAGTGAAACCCTTGAATCCCCCTGATTGCTAGCACGAGCTTCTCCCACAGCTTGACTACATGCATCCAGAGAGTAACGGCTACCTTCTTGGTACCCTCCATCAACGGATATGTATCTCTAACCCCGTGTACAAATACAGGGTGTAAGTATCGGTGTCCTGGCTCAGGCGTTTGAAGCCGAATGTCAGTCGAAAAGATGAGTCTTGGAATTTGGTCCCCGTCGCTGGGACTAACACCAAGCCTAATGGGGAAGAACCTAGCGTCTTGATCCCCATCCTGTCTCTGGCAAACAGCTTGAAGTGCCCGACTATTAAACCCCATTTGTTGAAACTCTTTAGGAATATCGCGATACTTCCTGCAGATGGAATTCACGATCAGGAGAAGGACCATGATGAATGCCAGGGATAACGCAAGGATCGACCCAAGGGTTGAGTATCCTCTCGTTGATTCGTCAAAGTAGGGTAAACGCTTGCCATCCTTCCCAGGACCGAATTGACTGGTCTGCACGAAAAACATGCTCTGCGATACCAGCCAGTGCAGCGTCATGGATAGAATCATGAGTGTAACTGAGTATTTGAGCGGCAGGGAGAGAAAGTATGATGAGCGTTGCATTCCTTCAGGACTCGAGACTCGCAATACTTTCTTTCCGTCAGGTTCAAGATAGCGCACCCACTCATCCGCCACGACTTGGCGGGTGAGGATGTTGTTGCAGAAAATGTACAAAAAGCTGACCAGTACTTGCGGACTGTTGGCGATGATGATATTGGCTAGCCTAGTACCTGTTTTGCTTTTGTTAATGGTCGCGCCTAATGGTCCTAAATCGTTGGAACTCGATGCCGGGTGAATTCCAAAGCCTCGACTCCAAATATCTGCATGGTCAACCCCTATTCGGATTAGGTGTTGGTATGATGACCAGACGGGGTATGCACAGCCGATGATGCCACAGGAGAATCTGATGCTAGTTAACAGAGATCATCTGAAATCCACAGGTACTCACAACAGGACGGAGATGATCCAAACTCGTTTGCTAACTGCCTTGGACCAAGGAATATGCAGGTGTAGTTTCCAGACGACATTGCACACAATAATTCCGCCTTCCTTGACATCTGTATCCATCAAACTAAAGCCATCAGGAACGGGCCTCTCAAGGAAGCTATGAATTGCATCCCCCATGGTAATCATCGTCCGTCGAGCCTTCTTACTGTCGGGATCTTTACTGCTCCTCCGGTACTGGTGCCAGGTCCACACGACCATCAAGCTTTCAAACAAGGTGCAAACACACACGATACCCAAGCGGTCGTGCTGTAATGCAGACCGCACCTCTCTTTAATATCAGCCTCATCACCAACCAAGCAGTAGTCAACAGCCATCGGAGTCATACCCCCCACTGTCCAATCGTCCGCGAAGCTTTCAGCCCATTCTAGAGTGCAATACCTAAGGTTATTTGTGTCTTTTTGACTTCTTTCACAGATCCATCCGTTGGACCAGCTCCAATATGTCTCCCAAGGAGTGACCCAACCGTCGATTAGCGAGGAGCCATTGTTCCGTGTCGAGGTTACGTTGCTTGATACAATTAAGACGGACCGTGTTGATTCTAGAGGGTTGAGAAAGCCTTTCATGCATGCTTTCCGATCGAGACGGGTAAAATTGGCCGCCTGGCTTTGTAAACCATACAGTGAAGATATGCCAAGCTGTGCTGCGTCATCGTCAGAAGGCGGCCACCATCGATGGTCGTTTCGAAGAGGATCAGTGGCTGTCCAATTATCTCCAGCAGTCTGAAAGTCGCTTGTCACCATCGCTCGTGGGATGGCAATGATCGGAAGAGAGGTGAAGATGGTAGCGTTCCAGCTGAACAATCTTCAGTTTTGTCATGATGGATGCAGAGTGGTAAGGAGCTTACAAAATATGCAATGACGTTGCAAGAAGACTTATAGCCACCCACGCGGTAGTGCGATACCATCCAATGTACTTGAGATTCCTGATACTAGGCACACCCACCTCCAAACTCGTGCCCTTGCGATGTGCTTTGTTAATCTCCTCTCTTGAAGGCGCAATAAGGACCTACATACAGTAATTCCCAGCGCCCAGAAATAGAGACGAGATAACATTGATAAGACCATGAATGGCAGTGTTGATAGTACTGGCAGTCGAACAGTTGCCCACAAGAAATGTTCCGACGCCGCGGTCGTCGGGCGGGTACGAGAGGATGGCCCAGAGGAGGACGGCTGAGGATATGGTGACTACTGAAAAGGCGGATGCCATTTGGATTTTCAACATGGCTGATCGCTTGGCCATCTTTGTCCGGAATGTTTTGGCTCGTGCGCTGTTAGGGTCTAGCTCGGGGATGTATTGAGATAGGTATGCTGTATTGGCAAAGCGATCGGACCTGTTGATTTGAGCTTTACAGTTCTGAGGAAAGACGGCTTAACTGCGCACCTCAGAGGAGACAAGAGGTGCTCTTCTTCGCGCTCCGCTGGACTAGAATCATTGTGAGTTTCGGACATGTTGAGCCGGTGATGTATCAAACTGGAGACCTGATTTAGTTGAGATACTCATCTCTGAAAGATGATGAAGACAACCGTCACACTCTAGTTAGCCCTTTAAATGTCAACATCTACAGGTCAGATCATAATAACAGCGTAGGCGCCTAATTTGTGGCTTGCTGCAGGGGGTAACATTGCGTGGCACAGCCCACCCGCAGCAGCTATGGAAATCAGTACGCTCGGCTATCCCGTATAGCCATAAGCATCTGCACTTTCAAACCCCATGACAACAGCTAGCTTTTACCATCCGGTTTAGGTCACAGCGAAAGACGGCATCGCAGTGTCCCATTGGCTGGGTGTCTGACAAGGGTGAAAACAAGTGGATGTGAGCTTTTCACCATGGGCAGGACCTATCTCTCCGCCTCAGCCAAGGCGCAGTTAAGATTGGTGCGAACTGATTATAGAGGCAGCCCAAGCCTTTATTGACAACTAAGCGTCGCATTATGTTACTGTACCCGATTTCCATTCGTCAGATCACTTTGTAACACCGGCCTCAGTTGGTCACAGTGGCTGGCCATGCTTGTTCGGGATGCATTCCTTTTTCAATTGGCATATCATGATAACATAGCCTGGTAGGCCTAACTGGATTTCTCCGCTTCTAGTATGACTCTCCTGTAGGTAGCCAATGGCTGCTCTGTGGCATCGCGAACGGCAAAAATAATATGAAGCGTCTGGGAATTAGAGTTAGTACATGCGCAATCACTATCTCGGGTACCACTTACATCATTGAGCTTCTTCGCGGTTTCCAGTTTAACGACACTGCCGTCAGTTTCGATGTTGGTAATATTCACATTGGGACTCTGCTGCGTCAAGATAGGCTCCATCTTCAAAGCTGGATCAAAGCCCTCAAGCCCTCGTCCATACTTGCCAGGTTCTCTGTAATGGAACCAGTCATACTTGAGCCCAATACCATCAGGGTCCCAACTCTCAGATCCATCGAGAACAATGCTCTGGCCAGGTTTGTACTTAAGTGTTAGAGGCGCAGGACCACAAGATCCATTGACAACAACAACAGGATGATGGTTATTCTCGGAATAATTGCCGTTGACAGTCCACTTCATACGAGCAGCAAAGTCATACTGATAGTCCGCTCTCCATCGCCAGATTGTAGCGAACTTGCTGATGAAGCTCTGTCCATTCTTGCCAACGACGTAGTCGCTTGTATCAGCGTAGACGTTTGACTGACCTGATTGGTCGAGAAGAGTGTAGCGACCACCCCAGCTTCCCCAGTCTGGATGGTTGATGTCTCCAAGGCCGTTTCGGACGAGGGGGAGGTAGGCAGGTGTGTCGCCCTCCATGATGAACGTCCAGTTAAGATAATGCGATCCCAGTGGCCCGAGGCGAATATTCTTTTCGAGCCAATCGTTTGAAACGAGGCTTGAGTCGGGGCCGCCTTGGTCGAAATGTCGGTATTCTTCGCCAGAGATACCGTTCCATGCTGCTACCGTGTACTCACTAAATCCGGTGAGAGAAGTAACGTAGAACAGTTGAGGGAATTTTAATCGAAGCCAAATTCCAGTATCGTCTTGATCGGAAATTGCGTAGACACGGAGTTTTTCAACGAACTTGTCCACGTCGGATTGTGACCGTTTGCGTGAGACTTCTTGAAGGGCTTCAGCGAGGATCGCAGGTCCGCCCCACACTGAAACGACGAGAGGATCTTTTGTGCTTGAGTCATCGACTGCTTTGATTAGAGCCTTGCCAGCATCACTGATTGTCATGTTGAGGGACTTTCTCCCGTAAACTGGATGACCCTTGTGCACCCTATCGAGCAGATACTTGTGCGACGGATAAGGTGCAGACGAAGGAACGTTGGCGCTGAGGTTTCCAACGACCTGTTTGTAACCGTCGAGTACACCGACGACGGCTTCATAGTCGATCTTATCCTTCATCCATGTTGATGTGGTTACGGCGATGCCTCGAATATCCATCTCATTGGCGTATGTGAGGAGTCGGACCAGACTCATCTGATCGTCAGGCTCATTGCTGATATCCGTGAGAACAAACAGTCTATGCTTGTGCTCGAGTCGCGATGTCGCACATTGCTTTTGTGCGCTAGGTGTTGCTGCGCTGGGTACTGCACAAACTTGAGGCAGCGCATTGAACAGCGCAAACGCCCCGATGAGTTGAGTAAACATGACAGGCGTAGTAAAGTTCTGCACTACAAGATCCATCGCCATTGAGGGAAATTCTTGGCTTTATAATGCGCCGATCGTGACATCGGCAGTAGAAATACTTACCGGATGGGGTATCGAGACGTCAAGACTCCAGGAAATCCCCACACTCTTGTGATGACGATCTCCACCTAGTGATGGTTCGGTAGCATCGCGTGGAGTGAAATCAAGGAACGATGCGGGGAAGAGGTTGTTCGCCTAAACTTCGCAACGAGGTTAATTGATCGTGACGCAGATCGATTCAAGTCGGGATTCTTTCCGAGGTTTACAACATGTCATTGGGCCTTTTACGTTGTGAATTCTTCTGATTCATACACTGCAATTCCTGCGTATACGCGTATTCAGGATACCAGAAAGATTGCATGCTGAGACTGCAAGAAGCCAAAACCTTTCGGTCACTTGATGGTAGATCAGACTAGCATCTAGGTCAATTCAATTTGACTCCCAAACGCTCACATTCTATTGTTTTGTTACGTATCCGAGGGACCATTCACAGGTCTTCTTGGCTGTCAGATAAAGACGTATCCGAAGTGCTCGTTATGGCGAGCTGAGTGGTTTGTTCTGGTAGATTTGCCCGTGGTCTTTCGGCAATGCGCTCGTCTCTGTCATCGTTGCGGCGCTTCTTTGCGACAGGCAGGAAGAAGGTGAATCTCAAAGATACTTCTCGAGGAATATTCGGTAGAGTTGATGCGACACTCTTGACCTTTATATCGTAATAGCTCTCAGTTGTATAACTGGTCCGGCTTCTTCCTCTCTGCCCACTTTGCAGGCCCTTTCCGATGTCGACTAACCCTTACATAGTAGCCGCTTGTTGAAGGCCGGAGGCTTGGGTCGTCAAAAGCAATTGAGTCGGTTCTTAAATTACGCTGTTGATTGTTGTCGGAAATGACACACTGTAATTGGCTACATGACGGTGACTAATGTCGCCGAGACCAGACTATCGATTTCTCAGTGGAGTCCAATCAGCTCCTTCGCAACATTGACTTAACCTGGTGCATTTCCTGCTCTTGCATTTTTACTTTGCCTTCGCAGTCCCTTTTCTTCTTTATCATCTTTTCCCACTGTTTTAAAGTCAATCGTTCGCATTATGCGTTGCACGAATATTTTCCCTGGCTTTGTGGCCAGCATGTTGTTCATCACTGGGACTATTGCTAGTCCCTGCAAACCCAAGACTACGCAGGAGCCTTCTGAAAGTCTGGTTTCCAGTGTCGTACAGAGCATCTCCTTTGAGCTCGTGTCCACGACAGATGCTACAACGACTGTCGCTGAGATCCTTTCGAGCACCACTGCTGGGATTGCTGCCACATCTACTGGAATTACCTCCACTGATGTTACTTCTACTGCAGAAATATCTCAAGTCACCTCTGAAGCTCTTACCAGAGCTAGCACGCAGACCTCAGTCGACATTACTGCCTTGACGACTGTCACTACTGAAACCACGTCTGATACCACTACCTGGATCACTCTGACCACCGAGGCTACTGCCGATACTACTACCTGGTTCACCGAAACCTCCACTGTCGAAACCACTACCACCGCTGAGGCCCCACCATCAGTTACCACGTTCTCCCTCAGGGCCAGCAACTCAGGCTTCACCTCAGCTAACGGCAAGTGGGTCGTTCAACACGCATCAGAGGGAATAAGGCTTGGGCCGGACCCAAACCTTGAAGATGGCTTCGAAATTATAGACTTCTCTATTGAGCCAGTGACAAATTACCTCAAGGTGGATGACTCCTATGTCGTTGCGTCTGAATCGACCTCAGGAATCGGCTTTTACGAAAGTAATTCTGTATCACGCTACATCGTATGCACGCCGCCTGTGGCAAAGGGTGAGAAGCTGTCATGCCACGACATGTTTGGAGACTGGTATAGTTGGGCGGTGGACTCTACTAACGGCCTTTTCCTCCGGTATGACATAGCCAATGAATTTTACTCCCCTGTGGACTTGATAGTATCTTAAGGCTATTACCATCGATATGGCCCGCAATTGCACATGCAAAACCCCAATGTACATTACCTTCATCAGTTCCTGTTTATCAACCACTATCATCTTTGTATCCAAGTCAGGAAATAATTTAGGTTCCTATTCTGTAACAAATCTACTATGAAATTCTTCATCCGTGTTCTCTTGGTATATCATAATCCCTCATTTCAACTCTTACTTAAGAAGTCTCCAAGAACCAGTCTCAGCCCAGATCCTAGCATACCACTGATGCAACTCGGTCATCCAACCAGGCATAGGTCCCTTGTTACCTGTAATCTTGCCTTCGCTTGAGAACAGAACGCTCTTGAGGCGCAGCTCAACCTCCTCGTTCTGCTTGTCGATGGTGGCGCTGATCTGGAAGAGACCGTCTGAGGGACGGAAGGGCTGGTTGCGTGGTGAGTCACCGCAACGAACGGTGATGGAATCCTTTGATTTTTCAATCACCTCGAAATGATCCGTAATGGCAGTTCCTCTGTCGTAGTTGCTTGTGGCGAGTTGTTCGGGATCCCAAAGTTGACCCTCTGTCTCGGGACCGCGGTACTTGAGGCTGAGATATCTGCGCTGAATAGCGTAGCCTGGGCACGTAAGTTAGTAAGAGTTCAAGCTTTATTGGTAATCATAAACTTGGCAAATCCGTTTTTGAGAATCTTCCATCTCAAAAATCTTGAACTCAAGTTCATGATAAATGAGGTACTTACCCCAACCACTCCAAACACCACGACAAAACTCCAACGCAAGGTCGCCATTCTTTTGCAAAAGCTCAGGCTTAATCTTCTCTAGCGGGATTCTCTTGATAACAACATCCTGAGTAGCGGGGTTTCCGTTGGGGTTGGCTCTTCGGAAAAGGCGTGAGGACCAGATGGGATCGTTGGCTGGGAGCGGGGAGATGACGGGGTTTTGCGAAGCGAGGTATGCTGCGCCTGTGGAAGTGGCGAGCAGGGTTGGCATTATAGCCTTTCTTGCTATGCGGAAGACGCCCATTGTTGCGGTGAGTTGTGAGGTTTGGTGAGGGATGTTGAGGACTCAAGTTGAGTGAGAGATAAGAATCTTGATCGGCATTTCTCGGTCGTGAGTCGGAGTGGGGAAACGGTGAAACACCCACTTTTTGATTGGACAGAAGAAAATGGGTCATGCGACCAAGGTGCATAAAATGTGGCTGGGAATAGTGAAGGATTACATGCTATATCCGTCAATTTACCCTGCATCAAATAATGAATCCGCGAGTCAAGATGGACGACAGAACAAAGTGACTTGATCGTGATAATATTAGCGTATTTGAAATTGATGAGCGACTGCCCTCATTTTTCTTGATCCTCATTCGAAGAAGTGAAGGTTGGTTGAGAAGCCATCAGCAAACCTTTCGAACCACAACGATTCAATTGGGGTGTAGCTCCTTGCAAGCAGAACATCTTAGTGTTCAAACATTTCAGCCGCAAGAATTTTAGAAGATATGTCAATAAATGGTTCCATCGGACAAAAGCGGAGAGGCGACGAGATAAAAAGAATAAAGAAAACTCCCTACGGCACAGAAAATAGCCAAAGCCGTTCGCATAACCGTCCGCGGAGGGTTTCGACATGCCGATTGTGGATAAATGCTTAGGTTACGAGTGGCGCAACCTTACAAGCTGTCCGCCTCGGAATGATGAGTAAACAGGTACTCCTCCAACTTCCGAACTTTATAAGACGATCATTGCCATATCACTAATCAGAAGTTGTTATATAAATCAACGACCCTGTTATGATATGCCGAGTTATCATAAAGTCGTGTTCAACTCTCCCACCATGTCATTAACAGCCGTCGAACACTTCAACAAGACCGCCGACAAGTACGAGGCCGCCACTGGTGGAGCTACTCGGGAACTCGCGCAGCATGCCATCTCCTCCATTGCCGACCTAAAGCCTTTGACGTCTGATTCCAAAGTCCTCGACAACGCATGCGGCACCGGTATCGTCACTGACATCATCCTCAAGTCCGGAATCCAGCCTGAGATCCATGCCATCGACGTCGCGGAGAATATGGTCAACATTGCTAGAGGTCGGTTCTCCAACGTCCAATCGGTTGTTATGGTTGGGGAGGACCTTTCTTTTCCTGGTGACACTTTTACCCACTCTGTTACGAACCTCGGCATCATGTACTTCACAGACCCCAGCAAGGGCGCCCGGGAGATAGCGCGTACACTCCACCCCGATGGAGTAGCCGTCGTCACTGGCTGGACGATGATGGGACATATCAAAATAATCCAGGATGTTCAGAAGCAGATCCGTCCTGATGATACACCGTTCAAGCCGCCGATGCCTGAAATCTGGCTCGACCCTGAGCATACCAAGGCCGTGCTGTCAGGTGCCGGGCTCGACGTGCATACCGCCACTACAGTTGACGTGCATCTGGGAGAAGAGACGGCTGAAGGGGTCGCTGATCTTCTAATTCATGGGTTCGGTGCCAAGTTGTTTGGGTCTTGGAGCGAGGAGGAACGGGAGAAGGGCGCTGCGATTATGAAGAAGATTGTGGGGGAGCGGGCTGTTCCGTTTACTAGATCCTCGGGCTCCGGCGTCGGTATCAAGGTGAAAGGAGCTATCTTTATTGCGCGCAAGGTATCTGACCTATGAATCTATTCCCATAATTTTGTTCAAATTACTCCCACTTTCCATCTTTATCAAATTTGACCAACTCCCCACTCAACAGCGCATGCTGAAGTGCCCGCCCAATATTCATCACCTGCATTCCACCCTCAATCGGCAAAGGAACAGGTTCATCCTTCAGAACAGCTTCAGTAAACTCATTCGCTTCCAACGCGAACGCATCTTCAAAACGCTGCCAATACTCGGGTTGAACTTCATGTCGAATACCCAACTTATCCGCCACAACAACATTATTTGCCCTCGGAACAACATTGACTGAGATCTTGCCCGTTTTGCCAGTAATCTCAGTGCACACATCGTGACCATGAGCTTGAGTTCTAGAACAGTAAAAGTGAGCGATCTTACCACCCCAGAATTCAACTACTCCGACGGCATTATCCACATCATCCAGCTCCTTGAGCTCGGGATGGTGTTGCAGAGTGCCGGCTGCCCAACATGCCTTGGGGATGGGGTTCCCGAGGTACCAGAGAGACAAGTCGATATCATGAATGGCGCAGTCGACGAAGATACCACCGTTACGAGAGGCATAGCGCACGAAAAATCCCGTGTCATCAAGAAGATCGCAAGTGTTAGAGCGGACCATGAATGGTTCGCCGACGGCTTTGTCTTCGTGGATCTTGGTGGCTGCGTCGCGGTAGGAAGTGTCGAAGCGACGGGAGAAACCGGCCATGATTTTGAGACGAGGGTTCTTTGCAGCGGCGTCAACCACAGTTTGAGCCTGTAAGTGTTAGTAGTTGAACATAAGCTGGTAGATAGTGCATACCTCGGTTATATCAGTGCTGAGAGGCTTCTCGCAAAGAACATGAAGTCCCTTATTAATAGCCGCCAACGATTGACTCGAGTGAACGTCCGTGCTGGTAGAGACCCATACTGCTTGAAGACCAAGATGGTTAAGCATCTCATCATAACTGCTGTAGACAGCGATGTCAAAGTCCTTGTAGTCTTGGTTCTCTTTTGCCCAGGTGACTTCGTGCTCGAGGGAGCTGCATACTGCGACTATGCGAGCACGGGGGACGCGGTAGAGAAGGGTATGGACGTGTCGCTTGCCCTGAGTGAGTTAGAATGGATCATGAGATGATGGGGTAAGGCGGTATACCATGCGTCCGAGGCCTACGACGGCGATGTTGAGGGTTTGAGTCATGGCGATGAGGAGTGAGTGGGAAGGGGTGTTTGATGAGACAGAGAGATAAGACAGAGTCTGGTGATATTAATTACTTAGGCGACGGTAAATGACCTCTTTATACATCTTTAGCTACATGTTGATTTGCTCCAAGTCTGTTGTGCGAGGTATCTCCGATCATTTGATCTTCTAACATGAGGAAAGAAATTACCTGCTCAGGTAAGTTACAGCGGGAATATATGGAAATAGTTGCCACTTCCAGTAGTTATCCGGGCAGAACTACCAAGACTGGTACCCGCTAAAAGACTCTAACCCCATACAGTAGGATCCAGCGATCCAGCACAAGGCACTTCTCGCAGAAGGAATAGCTATAATAAATTCAACAAAGGTGTTGAGATGAGGAATTTCTGCATTTGATGAATGTGGCAAGTGGAGAGTGGTTTGCGAAGGACTTTTGATAACTCGAGTTGAGAGTAGCCAGCAACAATACCATTCGCGTTTAAGGTCGAGACAGACAGGGTTAGATAGCGAGAATTCTTCCCTTGTCATACTGTTACTCGTAAGATATCCCGCGAAGACTCTGCTATTGAGTGCATCTTTTGCGAACATATAAAAATGGGTTATTATTGAAAGGTAGGTAGAATGTTCTCTGTTGAGAAGCTTATCGCCTACGGATTCTACAAGCAGAAAAAAAAAAAAAAACTTGACATGCAAAGAATAAGCCGCATGCGGTATCAAGACAATCAAGGCTTCCTGGGAGAAGCAATTATCGAAAATACACAATAGTTGTCAAGACGGCAAAAAGTGAGGTTCTGCCCGGGCTCGAACCGGGGACCTTCTCGGTGTTAACGAGATGTCATGACCAACTAGACCACAGTACCAAGCTGTTTTTGTGCAAGGATTAGTGAAAATAAGAACTATAACCCACGTCCGGATTCTGCAATCGGGATCTCAACTACCGTACGGATCTGAAATAATTTGAAAGTGAAAACATTGGGTCTCAGGTAAGGGCAACTTGTACCTCATAAATTGATGAGTGGTTATCCTCTTTAGATCCAGAGAAGCTATTGTTACAGGATGTAGTCGTTACTTGAAAACTAACATAAGACCTGTCTTCACTGACTACAACAGCTTGGGACAACACATGTGAAAAGGTTATAGGAAGAGCCGTAGAAAGCCTGCATTAGCGGCAGCCCAAATAATCACAAAGTCAAGCTTATTTGCTAAGGTCGCACCCCATTCTGTTATTCAATGGGAGAGACGTACCCGGAACGCCACACACTGTTTCTTGGGACTCTGCTACACTTCAGTCGGGCGAGTGAGTTTGCAGAAATGGACGATTCGGGCTTCGGGTGTATGTTACAAATTGTCCAACAAACATGACGGCACTATATCCAGCACGTCAAACTGCCATCAGATAATGGGTGGAAACAAGCAGTCTGGGAACAGACATGTGAACGGTAAACAATCCCTGAGCTCGACTGGGTCATGTTTCACTACCATCCCTTCGTCAAATCGCTTTTATCATGCTTCAAAAGCATTGGTATTACTGCTACTGCTCTTTACGACCCTTGCTTGGGCGATGGGAATTGGCCTTAGTATTTACGCAAGGGTAGAACACACAAATCTTCAGAATGTATGACTCCGGGATACCTCATCGACAAATTGCCTTTGGATGCGTACATTATAATGATTGAGTATCTGAATAATGAAAGCATCCAATATGCTATTGTGCTTACGGAATGTAAGTCTTCAAGCCGAGCTCTTGCTATTTGAGCAATTTTCCATTGGCTTACTATATGGTGATGCGGATCTCCACGCGGATTTCCGCGTTATTGTAGCTTCACTTAGACCAGTACGCGGAATTCCGCAATGCAAGTAATAGAACATATTGCTTTCAAATATGCTTTGTAATATATAATTAATGATAATACCTTTCATTTGCCTATAAGAAAGCTCAGTAATCCACCTTCTGAAGTTAACAAACACAGATTCTTTTATACCTATCAATCTAGCGACAGCATTCCTAAAGAAGTATTTAACGAAAAACATTATTTCTATCCACCATGGCAAACGAAACAGTTCAAATTGGCTACCGCCTCTTCCCCATTACCAACAAAACTCATAAGGCCGTCTACCCTGCCATCTCGCCCTCCAACCCTTCTATGTCCCAAGTTGGAAAAACAATCCTCATCACAGGAGCAACCCGAGGCATCGGCTTTGAAATTGCACGCACTTTCGCTGCCGCTGGTGCAGAAAGAGTCATCATTCTCGGCAGAGATCAGTCCAAATCTGATTCTGCTGCTGAGAAGCTCACTCAAGAAACCGGACGCAATGTCTTTGAAGGCCGAAGCTGCGAGATTGATACGCCTGCTAGCGTCGATGCGTTGTGGGACAAGCTTGATTCAGATGGCATCGATGTTGACGTTGTTGTTCTTAACGCTGCGCTCACAAGCCAGTTCGGCGGGATGACGGGTCTGGGATGGGAAGAGGTTTGGAAAGCTTATGAGGTCAACGTTCGGTCTTCGCATCAGTTCTGCGATAGGCTGAGAAAGCAGAACTTGGGCCAAGGACGCAAGGTATGATAACACCCTGTTCCACACCTTTCTCCAACATCCACTAACGAAGACAAACAGAAGTATGTCGTCAACATCTCCACTTCCGCCATTCACGACTTTCCAGCCGCTTCCTACGCCCCCGCCTACTCCCTGAGCAAGAACTCAGCCGCCCTTTTGCTCCAGCTCCTTGCTCGTGAGCTGCCTGTCTCTGAGGTGCAGTTCGTCAGTATCCATCCTGGCGCGATTCTTACTCCAGCCGCCGCGGAACTGGGAGTCGACGAAACTACTCTTGACTGGGACGACAGTAAGTCGAGCCACTCCATCTTTCCTTCACACTCTAACAACTCAATTCTAGTTAGTCTGCCTTCTTCCACCGCAGTATGGGCCGCTTCCGATGAGGCTGCGTTCTTGAATGGTCGGTTCATGTGGTCGTCTTGGGACGTCGAAGAACTTGCTACCGGAGAGATTGGAAAACGTATCGAAAGTGACGAGAACTTCCTTCGTGTTGGGGTGCATGGATTGGAGTATGCAGTTGCCAAGTGAAGGGTTCCCAATATGCTATTCACCTCAATATTGAGGGAGAATCTGCCCTCTCAGTCCCCACTTCCTCAATAGATCTCTATCGCCACCAAGCCACCGTTCCAGTGCTTCCAAGCCCATAAACGTCGCACGAAACATGATTCCCAATTCATCAAAATCCTCGGGTTTCGCCTCTTTTGTATCGCGTCTAAAGGTCGACATAGTAGCCTCAAGACGTGGGTATTTTGTCCATGCCATTTCCCATTCAACTTCTGACCTGGCTTCCCACAGTGCAGCTTGGACTGTCAAACAAAGATTGTCTATTTCCCGTTCGCCTGTGTCCCATCCGAGTTTCAGAAATCTGTACACCCCCGTGATTACTTCGACGAATAAAACTGTCCTTCGAAGACTTTCTTGTCGTACCCAGTCTGTCCAATCTCTCGGGGTAGTAAATGGTTGTAACTCTTCCCTCAGCTTTGCGGCCCATGATGCTAGATATGTCGCATCACGTTCTGCCTGCGCTTGTTGAGTGATGTCTATAGTCGAGAAAAGGCGTATGGACTGATATATGAGTAATGCCTGAACGGGTGGGAGAAGATCAAGTCCAGCAGTTGGGCAATGGGCAATCAGTGTTTCGACAGCTTGTATTAGAAGTGCTGCCCGTCTCGAGATTTCATTCTTGACAATTGTCGCATTGGCTGGATTTCGCATAGCATGCAAAGAACTTCCTGCGAGAGCGTCTTGTAGAACAGGTGAAGACTCGACTTGTGAGTGGTGAATGAAAGTGGTCTGGCCGGTCTGAGCTAATGCAACGGCCTGCGCAGCGATACGTCGCCCTACATATTCCGTACGCGCCTGGAATCTACTGCTGCTAGATATAGCCCCTTCAGGCTGGATAGACAGCGGTGGTCCTGGTGGCGTTGCAAAATCGAAACTGATGGACGTTTCTCGACTACTGATAAGGCCATCTAACAAAGCCGCCATGGCAGGAGAGAGTGGCTGAGGTATGGTAATAGTGTCTTGCATCAAGATGTTTGTTATTTCACTGGATGCTCCATTAACCCAAGAAAAGTCTTGAGTCGATAGTGAAGAGTTACTATCTGCCCAAGGGTACTCGCAAGATACCTTTCTAGCGAGACAACGATCGCAGGATGGTAGACCGAGATCACAGCGTCGCTTGGACCTGACACATGCTCTGCATGATTTGCGCCGTGTTGATAGCATCGGTGGTAGACAATGTTGGGACTTGGTAAGGAAACAATACTGATCTTGACAAAGACGAGAGTCAGCTATCTGCCTATAATCTCACTGCATAATATCACGGATCCGGAATAATCTTATGCCGAGTGTATGACAAGACTTCACTATCAACTGATACTCTTTCCTAAAGTCCGATGCTGGAATTCGGTGTTTTCTTTCTGCAATAGTAGGCGTTAGGTGGCCGCAAAACAGTCTATAGAAAGTCCCTCAATGCTTTCGGCAAAGGCCAAGCCTGGCAATCCCTAAACATCCTCACAGTTTTCCTCAAAGTCTCCCTCTCCCAAGGATCCGTAAAATAACTTCCATACATCTGAATAGCCAAAGTAGCATTGACAAGACCTGGTTGAGTGTCCGGGTGTTGTACCGCTGTACCACATACTTCGAGGACCAAGTTCCGCACATCTCCTTCTGCTTTGCGATATGCTGCGCGGACATCTTCAGCTCGTCTATTACGATGTTAGTCGAAAGGGAAGAGGGAGAGGAGGAAGACTTACAAGAGAAGTGGTGATTCGGCGAGTAGAATCATCTTTGCTATCATCATGTGCTGCATGCCCGTAAGAGCAATAGGTGACGCAAACCACATCGTTGGGAAGACCTCGCCGGAGACTTTATCCGGTGGGCGATATAATATGGGCGCGAAACGGCCGGTGACGTACTCATCAAGATACTCTTCCTGCTCTTTGAGCTTTTCTGCAGAGCTAGTCAGTCCTGGATTTGCTAATGAAGGGACTGTACTTACGCCATCCACTTTCAGAATTATCACTGAATAACCACTTCGCGACCTGATTCGTATGCGAAACAAGCTTGTTCGCAGGCGATATATCAACCCATTCCGCCGGCGGCTCAACAATCTGCGGGGCGAAGCCTTTTAAGAGTGCATAATAAACTTCCTGTCTAAGCGCAATCCAGTAAGACGCATTGAGCAGCTCCCTCCGATGGCTCAGATCATCTGCTGTCAAACTCCTCAAGACAGCATTGAGAATGGCAAGAAAGTTTACACCCTCATCCACTTCCGTGCCTGACTCACTTTCCTGATCATCCAACTCCTCAAAGTGTCGCAGTATAACAGCCGTCGTAACAATGAGTTCTCGAATTTCCCCATCTTGAGTTGTGTGAAAGTCTTTTAGGACTTGGATGCATTTCAACATGTATTCTACCGCTGTACCTGGAGTCAGATTGGGGAGCGGTTGGCCGCGGTAAACTATTCCATGGGGAGTTTTGTACTTTTGAAGACGCGACAGATGACGAGCGGACATGGCGAGGATGGCGTTTAGGAGGGGCGGATAACGACGGGCTCGCTCGGGGACAACGAGTTGATAGCGTCTTTGGGGGTCGACTAGATCGAACTGGAGATGTTAATAGCAGTATACTCTGGGGAGTTGGTAGTGTACCCATGGTGATAGATCTTCAATGAAGTAGCGGAGCAGACATGCTTCTTGAACGCCTTCTAGAGGTACGTCTCTACCTTGTGGTGGTTCGAGGGTGTGTAGTAGACCACCCCATGAAGGACCTCGCTGAGAACTTCCAAAAGGCTGAATGGGGAATGAACCTGGGAAGTCGGTATTGGATGGCAAAAATGTTGGTGGTGTATAGGGGGAATTGTCGAACGCCGGGTCGAAGCTCTGATTTTGAGGTGTGCTGGAAGGATAATTATCTGTAGGCCGTGCTATCCCCGGTGATCCCGAAGATGACCCTGTGTCTGTGTGGTCTTCAACAGCAATTCTTTGGGTTGATCTCCTAGGTCCTGTCTGAACACGAACTAGCATGTCTCTCAGTATCTTAGCAAACGTCAAGTATGGGATCACGTACACTCTTTTGCATTACTATTCACCCAACTCTGTGCACCAGAGAATTGGGCATCGTACTTGGCTGACGAGCCATGTCTGAAAGCACGAGCCGAAGTACGCACACATTCCAGCCCTTTTGTTTGGCATCGATTGCATTTGTCTGCATTCTGGTCGCCTGAAAGCTTGTTAGCGATCTTCCTCCATGGGGATACTGATTTCACATACATTTGAGGTGCTTGCCTAGAGTGGCCAATCACAATTAATTAGGTGGTCTCTATATGGAGGGGAATGCCTTACTTTTGCACTCTGAACACGGCTTTCTTAGTACTGGCATGGTTATAGGGCTAGTATATGTCCAATCGCTGGCTTCAGGCCAAGATGGATGAAGTGAGTAAGAGTCGGCGATGATGACGGGCGGGGTTAACGACGGATCGGCGAGACTTTCCCAAACAGGCAATATCTAAGAACGGCCTAGTCACATAACGTTGTGTACAAGACAGAGGATCTGTATCAACCTAAAACTATCGTTTTCCACGAACACTCTTTCAACGACCGACAAAAGAACGAAGACTGAAAGATCTTGGCAAGTCCAACTCGTTCCGCCACTAAACCATGTTCCGTCTCCTTCCACTCCAACATCAACGCATAGAAGCAATACCACTCCGCCTGGTGCCTTTCCTCAGAAACATAATAAGTCCACGTATCAAGCTCATCCATACTGAAATCTTTAGCTTCAGAAATAGCAACGAATTCGAAAATGCCACCAATGCGATTATACCAGTCTTTGTTAAGGGTGACAGTTCCGCACCAATCGCCGTGGCTATCTGCGAGGCCGAATTGATGCAATCGGGATTCCTGGGAAGTGGGTTTCGACATGGTTTTGCGGGATAGGGCAAAGTGGCCTGTGAATGACTGGAAGAGTAGACGGCCTTTGAAGTCAGGATGGAACGGGTGATCGTCTAGATCCGCAGCATCGTCTCGATGGACTTGTGCTTTGAAACGACAGCCCGCAGCGGTTTGGGATCGGCCATAGCAGTCAGATTGGCTCGACATGTATCCGTCCCAACGATTTAAACTGCTCTTGAACTCCTCATTTCCATACCAGACAAGCTTCCAGCAATTGGATCCGCCGATGTACCAAATAATCCAAGTCCTATTAGCAAACCAGTCGCTAAGATTGAATAGTGTTCCTTCGAGAAACGATCTCGGCCAATAGATGGGCCTGTTCCTGCCACACCATGACCAACTGGGAAACTCTGTTCGCTCAACATCACCACCATATAAAAAGCGATTATTATCCTTCAACTTATCCCTTTCCACCCATAGCAGCACCCAGTCGAGATACCGAAGGGGCATGCCATATTGGAAGGCCGAGTCAAGACGTCTTTCAAGAGCTCCGCTAATTCCTTCAAAAGCCATGACCTTGTCTTTTCTGAAAGTCAGATATCTTCCAGAGTATATCTCTGCGCTCGATGTATAGCTGCGTAGTGGGTTGCCTTGAATTGCTTGTAAAGGCGAACCCACCACATCCAAAGTCCATAGATCTTTGTCCAAAGAAACGTCCATATCCTCCCTCCACGTGGTAGACTTGCACTGCCAGATTAGTCCCTCTGGAGTAGATATAAGACATCGCCTAGATAGCAGACGCTCTTGAAATGTCCAAGCTCGCGAGTCCCAGGGAGTTGAACTAATGATCTTAGCCACTGGAGGCAACGTAGTCAACTTCAGGCCCCCGTATATGTCAAGTTCCCGGGGAAAGAGTCTGCGCTTGCCTTGGATGCCAGGGATACCGTGAGAAGGGTCAGCGGCGGTGGCACAGATCGTTAGCGCAGCCTCCGTATATATACGATCCATCTGCTTCGCCTCCCTTTCCCAGTCTCCAGGTGAATCCTGTATGATGCAAAGTGCGTCGATCCAGATATAACCGATGCCGAGTTCTCTTGCGACCGTGGCGGCATCTAGTAGTGTCTTTTGTAACCGGTCGGACTGGATACCTTGCTTATGCTCGTCTATGTTGTCCTTTCTTGTCACGAGCGGGGCCTGGCGGCCCCAGCAGTAGCTTAAAGCAGCGTAATCCATCTTGCGAGGGCGTATCACGTCGTCAAATTCGCAAAGACGAAAAGAGTGCACATCTATAAGTCGATTCGGTATGAAACCAGTGCCTTTGTGCTCTTTCTTGTTCCCACACGCTGAGTGACAGGATACGCAGCTCTTGTACCACGTTGATACGAGTTCGAAGTCGAATGAGGTGATGAACTTGTTTCTGGCCATGTTCGATGGCCGGCCGGACCAATTCGCTAGAAGAGGAATGATGTAGAACTCTGGAAACTCATCCGCTTTGTTAAACACTCGAAGTCTCCGAGTTGAAGCTCCCGAAGTCGGGGACCTCGAATCAAGGTGCCACTCCATACTACACAAAACACGTTCTCCTTTTATGTTCAACCCATCGTGACCAACGCCAGACCCATCATCAGAACGGCTGCCGTTGTAAATGAGGCAACATAGTGGACAGGGTATACGGTTAGCGTATATCTCATCGAGACAAGCAAATTCCAGTGAGCCAAAACCAACAGGGTCGAAGCTAGTCACAACTGAACTTCCCGAGGCTTGCAAGGTTTCGTTGACGATGAATTTCTCCATTGAAAGGTTTAGGTCGCGGCATCGCATGCACAAGAACTCGAGACTCTGGAAGGCCGAGGTGCTATCATTGTCGGAATCGGCATTATATGTCCATTGCTGAAGCCATTCGTCAACTGGCGAAGTCATATCTATCTCCTGAACGACAGTATGTTTTTAGCAGTTAATCGGATATCGTAAGATTGGATAGTAGTACCGCTTGACAAATACTGCGACACTAACTTGGGCGATCTTGTAGGTGTTTATACATAAATCCCGCGATTATGTCACGTGTATGCTGCAGGCTGATCACTCATCATTATCCGGAGACAAACAAACACAGCAAGCAAGATGGTTTCCTGAGGGACAGATTGAGTTTAAAGTACTCTTCAATATTATTACTAAAACGACGTGGGGTATTATGCATATTCTTTCTAATCATCATCATTCCAACAGACTATAAAATTACTCAGCAGCGTTGCTGGCACAAGACCAAGGCTGCTTGCTTCCACCCTGAGCAATGGCCTCAATAGAAGCCCATAATCCAAGGACACAAATAAGGAAACCAGTCAGGAAAAGAACGACATTGGCGACGAAGCGACAAGTCTGCTTCCCATCCTTGAACCAGTTTCCATAGTGCATCCAGAGCCAGAAGATACCAGGAAGACCGTAAGAGAACCAACTGGCGAACAAAGCGCAGATGAGACCGAGGAGGTTGTTGAAGACAGGGATGGACTCGGCGATGACCATGGACAGAGCCCAGATACCGAAGGTGATGCCGACCCAGGCAAAGGTGGACAGCTTGGTGCGGCGGATCATGTGCTTGGTGTTGCGGAAGATTCGCTGGAAGATGTAGGCGGAGGCGACGTGACCGTAGATAACACCAGCGATGACGATGGTAGGAATGGCAATTCCCCAGATGACCTTTCGCATGGTGGCAGATCCAGCAGCGGAAAGAGCAGGAGAAGGAACGTCAGGACCAACGAAGACGTAGATGACGATAGCGGCGAGGAGGTAAAGAGTGGTGTCGACAATCTGGAGGAAAGCAAGAGCCTTGGGCCAGTCCTTGGGCTCTTTGAACTCGTTGATAACAGTGAAGAAACAAGAGTGGCTGGAGAAAGAGATGGCGATGTTGGTAACAGCGAGGAAAGCGCCAGTGAAGCCAAGCTCCTGCGCAATGACGATGCTTCCAGATCCAATAGGTCGCTCATGCGCAACATCACCAACGGTGATCAGCACAGCAAGAGTAATACTCATGCAAGAAGCCATGGACATCCAAGAGGTGTACTTGAGTGTACGAGGAAGGTTCAGAACCCAGAAGATAGCAAGTCCAACAACAGCCCAGACAATAGTGCAAGTGGAGCTGCCGGTAAGAGTGTTGATGCAGATGGTCCAAGTAAGGAGATGGCTTCCCATGACGAAAACCTGGAAAATGACCTGCGCCCAACCAAAGACTTCTTGGAACACGCGACCCATGCCGATGGACGTTCCGATGACTTCGACTGCGTCACCGAAGTTCTGGACGTGAGGGTATGCTTCGCGGAATTCGGCAAGGACGAGACCGGAGTATGTGGACAGGAAACCCATGACGAGAATGAGGATGATGCCGGGGACTAAACCGACGGTGGCGAGGACGGAGGGGAGGGATAGAATGCCCAGAGAGACGGTTTCGGCGATGAGGACGATTCCACCTTGCCTGTGATGTGTTAGTATGTGATTGTATTAGATGTTAAAGATGGTTGAACATACCACCACGTCAAGTGCTTGTACTCGATGAGCTCAGCTTCTTCGCCAGCCATAACAGCATCTTCCTTTCTTGTAGCAAGGTCGAAAGCGGGAGGAGCTTCGCTGATGCCCTTTTCTTGCGCCGAAGCGCTGTTATGTTCGTCGTGGCTCATAGCGATTGTTGAAGAAATATCGCGTGTTGAAGAGACAACGCAGAAGACTAAAAGTAAAAAGAACAGTAAAGCCAATTGAGACAAAGGTAATTCCAACAGCAAACCACTTCCTTTAAATAAAGACTACAGATCCCTCTGGGGGCAAAATTGGCCGAGAGCGCTACGAGAAAAAAAAGCTTCTAGTGTTAGTCGGCCCACTGAGAAACCATTACATCGGGGGAGGCCGAGGGGCGCATCGCGCACCGAACTCGGGCAATTGAGCATCTAGACCAAGAACAGGAGCTAAAGGACTCGAATAAATGCCACGGTGGATCAGGCGAGATCGGACAGCTGCAAGCGATAAAAGTGATAATGTGGGCAGATCTTGAAGAGCTTCAGATTGAATTTGCAAACTTTTACGTTATGAGGTTCCACTGTGGAATACCGCGAAGGACTCGGCTCCAGACTCTCTCCACAGAGGGACCGAAGGGTTTCCCCAGATTGAGGGTCACTCTTCTTTCATTGTCTATACAGCTTGAGATTGAGTATATGTATCGTGATGATGGAGAGATGGATGGGAAGAGCCTCACTTGAGCCTCAACTTGGCATCATGAATTTTCAGCCTCTGCCGAGAAAAATTCTTTCTAAAGAATTTCTAGCGTGGAAAGATTAGTCCATTTTCGGAATGACTCAGGGCGCCGATCACGGTCCGACCAAATGGTTCTAGGCGTTTGAGGGTGGAGCTGTTCTCCGGGGGAACTAGATGTACTCCAGACCCAAGAAGTGGAGATGGTCTGGGCAGAGGTCGAGAACGGGAGTCAGAGTCTGTGTGTTGATGGAGCTCATATGGGGACATGGGAGGCTCGAGAGGTAGGCAATGACGGGAGGCATGGGGTTTTATATATGGTTTACGGTATCAAGCCACGCCCTACGACTTGCATGCCGAGGATCTTGGCTGCGGAAGAAGCTTAATTGATGATCAATCATCTGAGCGTTATTGGTCTGTATACGTACTCGTCAGTGTTCCCCAGACTGAAAGAACGGTGATGTTTGTATTACGTTATACCGTCCCTCAGTTTTGGTCTAGGACTTCTTGCGTGGATATGGGGAAGTGAGGGTGAACAGTGCCGAGACTTCACATGTCATACCCTAGAGATGCATTTGAGTAGCCATTGAACAGTATTCTTTCGGCATCTAAAACTAGTGAATAGAGATGAGATTGATATTGAATTCATCAACTGTCTCGACATTCATAGTAAACAGTAACAAATGTCCTATTTCATCCCATGTACCTGCCTTTCCAAGTCCGGGCTAGTCTCTCAGCAATACTTGATCAAAATTTAGAGATATCTGTCCTCGTCAAAAGACTTGCAGCAGGTCCAACAACCGTAATCACCGTCACCGAATTTCTTAGGGTTCTGTATCAAGTCAGCTACTGACCCCAACATAGGTGTTTTTGACTTACCCATCCTTCAGGACACTTAGGCTCCTCAGACCAGCACACCTTGAGACGAACTTCCTCGGTACTGAAGTCGACACGTCCATTAGGTTTGGGAAATGTCTTGACATCTCGGTTGGCGGATGAGCCAGAAACTTGGATGCGAAGACTGACGAGAGCTCAATTAGTGGAAGTAGGTATTTGGATAGAGGAAGGACTTACGTGATTTCTTCGCCCATTATGGCTCTGCCATTAGACCAGGGCATGGCGGCGATGCCTTGGGCGAGGAGGATGATGGAGACGACGGAGAACTTCATTGTGAAGGAGAGATTGGTAAGTGTCAGAAGTAGAGTGTTGGTGAGCTTTAGATGGTTGTGAAGATAGGGATGATGAGAGAAGGAAGAAGGCACCAGCGCCGGCTCTTTATAGATGAATCATCTTCGGTATTCTAACTCATGCATGCGTATTCACGCTGTTGTAGATCTCGAACAAGAAATATCAAGACGTCATACGAGCTGGTACTTGACCTAGGTAACCATTGTGTGAGACATGATGTTCACCTCACCTGCTTGGCGGTTGGAATCTTACAGCAGATGCAGATCCAGTATCAACGTTCTACACCACGAAATCAGGGATAGGAAGAGAGCTTCGATGCATCCCTTACGTCGGAGCAAGTAACATCCATTGGCCCTCTACCGAAATGCGTTAAATAAGGTCAATCCATAAAGAAGTACTTAGCTACTCACATATCCGTATTACAAGTCGAATTATCTTACTGATTTCCTACTACCTTACTACTAACAAGATCATGAGAGAATGTAGTATAGCTTAGGTAGATAATATAACTTAATTTAGACAGTATAAGCTGACTGATATTATTTTTGTTAATTACTCTACGGTTACATTGAAGATGCCGTGCAGCCATGCAAGGGATGAGCTCAGACTGTAAGACACGGCAGAGCAGTATCGGGACACGGCAGATGATTCCACCAGTCAAGATCGCGGTGCATCGGGTTTCTCAAACATGGGGTCAATGATCCAGTATCAAGAACCGAGACATACATCAGTACTACCGTCGGACAACTCGAAACCCCTCCGGAGTCAAACTCCTTGATCTTAGCCTTTCCCTGTCCATTCTTTTCTCCGAAGCCTTAACTTTCCCGCCCGTCTCAGGATCCCATATCCATCCCTGCTTAAGCCACATCCAGCGAAGAAATGCCCTGAGCTCTTTATCCAGTGGCACCACTCGCTTCCACTCTGGCTCAAAACCTGCCTTTGCGTCCTGTCCATTCCAGTCTTTTGCTAAACCTCGTAACATGTCGCGGTGGAAGATGCGATAGCTATCGATTGCATAAGGTCCAAGGGATGGTAGATGCGCCACCTCCCATCCAGTCCTCACATCATCTACATCCAGCACTTCATCCTTGCCTACATCAAGCCCATCACCCTTAAAAGGATAGTGTAACTTCCTATACCGTCTTATTTTGCATGGTGGATGTTCAATCCATGTCTTGGCAAATGCAATGAGCCTTGCCGCCCGTGAATTGTACAACCCGATAGGCCGAATGAGATCAGCGAGATCCGTAAAGGATGCTGCAGCAAGATCGTTTGGGATTGGGTATTTGGCGATGAGTTTGTCAAAGACGGGCCGTGCTTGGGTGCCGCGTGTACGATTCCAGAGAACTGTGGCGACGAGTAGAGCGTAGAGGTTTGTGGAGAGGGATTCTTGGATGAGGCCGAATTTGGTTGCGGTGATCGGGGGAATGCGGGATGCTGATGAGACAAGATCTAAGGCCTTCCGAGGCGACTTCTTCTGCTTGGTGACTTTGATGAGGACGTTGGTGTCTGGTTCTGGGCTCGGTTCCTTCTTCATCATCGACCTTGTAACGCGGCGGGTGGAATGGGAGACAACATCATGCGACATTATGAAGGGTGAGCAAAACTTGAATAATTGACTGCCAACACAAGAGCATTTCACATATGTTACTTGAGTTGTGAGAATTTAGCATAAGACGCGATCTAGTCCTGACATTTTCGATGACGCCATCACTAGCGGCTAGCATCGATCTCCATTAAGGGACGGCTTACTCGTCCCCGCATTCTTAGTCTCAGCGGGATGCTGTGGAACAATAATTGTGAGACAAGTGAGGAGGTCGTGAACACAATATGCCACAAACACATTTTATCACAACTTGTGTGATATCGGGGCTCCGTCTTTTGACGCAGGGAGGCAGAGACTAATGTCTAGCTTCCAAGGCTGTAGTAAGACATCAAACAACATCGAAGACCCTTTCTTGAAGCTCATTTCGAGTCAACATGTCCATCGCTTCGCCATTCATCAACCCATGCACATAGCACTCGCCAACAAGCAAATAGCGCCCGCCCATAGGTCTGAGACAGAAAGGCACTTTGCAACCAAACAAGACACACACAATATCGCCCCCTTCCAACGCCGCTGGGCCGAGCACATAATATCCCTTCTGAGTCGTAGCAAAGACTCGACCCGCGGAAGCTGAAGTTGCCCATCGATCCCAATTGCTTTCAGAATCTGGCATTTCTGCAGCCCTCTTAACCTCCTCTGATATAGCAGTTGATCCTTGGTGGGTGTCTATGAGATATCTCGCTGCCTTGCACAGCCATACCTCTTTCGGTACTTCGTGGTATGGTGTAGAGTTGTGTCCTGCTGCTTGTACGCATCCGTTGCTCAACGTTTGCACGACAGCGAAAAATGCCGTTTCTGAATTTATGTAGGCGTCGCTCAAATTGAAGTCAGCTTTTCTGCATAACCCCTTCCAGAGCCACTCCAGCGTTGTTAGAGATTGGTCGGAGGTCTTCTTGGTATAAAAGTCCCGCGAGCTCAGCTTTCCGGTGCATTGTTTGACAACATCAATCTGAACTCCATGAACCCGGAGCATGAGATCAGCTTCCTCCAATACCATGTTTGGCGAACTGCCACTGTGCGCACGATGAGGGCAGATCGGCTCCGCTAATATGATTCCCTCAGACCATCTCCAGTCTGGCACCCAGGAGGGAAGCCTGTGCTTGTCCTTGAGCCATATTTCAGTCTCGGTCAGAGTCGTGGGAAGAATCTTTTGACGATGCTGCACTGCTGCCAGCATGATGCAGAGTGACGCTGGACTTTGTTGTAATATTTGGGTTGCTGTGTTGATATACGTTTCCTCGACTGTCTTTGTGTAATCTGTAGTAATCGAAAGCGGTCCACAGCTCAGCGGATGATGAGATGAAACAGAGAAGTGACCAAGAAATGCAAAGATGCGGTCTCTGTCATCGCTGAACTTGAGATGACGCGCTCGCTGGAGTTCGTACACGAAGTTGAAGCGGTTCGCATGATATGTCTTTTCATCGGGCTCAACGAACCGCCGGAATAGGAAGGATATGTCGGAGGTGGTGATACCCAATGTGCTACGGAGATAATGATAGCACTTGAGCTTCTCGCAAACTGTGGCCAATTTGTCCCAGTCCAAGGTGGCTTCGCCCCATATCATCGTCGCTGGCGTTCCCGTTCCAATCTCTTGAACAATCCATCCGCGCTTAAACTATTCTGTTCATCAGTGTCTCAAATAACCATATATGTGTCGACATATTTACCCAGGGCCGGTTTGTTAGCGCTTGCAACGGCTTTCGCTTATCCGCGATGTACGTTTCTAAGCGGGCGCCAAGGTCTGAGGAAGGATTGTCGAGAAGTCCGTCTAGATCGTGGACGAGACCGAAAGCTGGCGATGCTACCTGTTGCGTATCCAAACCAAGCCATACTAGGACCTGACTTGCATCGCGATATATTCTATTCATGAATTTCACCTGCTTGCTTCTTTCCATTTGGTCCTTCTGGTTAATACAACACTGATCGGCCCATATTCGACGTGATACTCTGGGAGATCGTAAAGAACGGAGTGCTGCAGATACAGACCCTCCATCAAATCCAAGAAATCCTTCCCCGCCTTTAGCGTCCTGAATCAGGATCTCGTGTGTATTATTCGGTAGTTCTGGATCTGTCCAGACGTAGGATAATGCCTCATAGCTCCCTGGAGAATTGATCGGAACAACCTCTAGTCTACCTAGGAGTGGCTCGTCGTAATTGCCAGGCTCTAGTGTCAGTATTCGAATTGTCTCGTCATCCTCCAAAGGACGGTACCGGTATTGAGCTTTCTTCATCATAACCCGACCAGGGCAGTCGTTGGAGCCTTGGAATGGCAAAGTTGACTCTGAAAGATCAATCGCAAGTCGAAGTATAGCTGAGTGTGGATCTTATAAATCTTGAGTTTATTGTGGCTTGGCAGCTATTACACCATATTCTACAATCCGACTTAGCAAGCTCATGAGAACTATCAATGGCTGCAAGAGTCCTATGTACGAAACATTTTTCTACTTCGCTTGACCCCTCAAAAGGCGGGACTGTGGCTAAGCGCTTAAGTGACATGTATTTGTCGAGCCGGTTAGGCGGAGATAGCACCTTGCCATGAGATAGGCTCCAATGGATATTTGCATACAGCTTAACCCTAGCTAATACTTGGGCACCACTCATTAGGTCGGATCCGCACAATGAAGTATTTGAGACCCACCACGCCTGACCTTCAACAGCTGCTGAACCTTCCTATCTTTCCGGCCTTTCCGATACTCAGCTTGAGCCATGATCTCAGCATTTCGATCCAGATTTCTAGAGACAACAAGCCCTCAAGATGCACCCAGTAAAACGGCGCAGACCCGAGCCGCCGACGAGCCAGAAACCTCCAATCAACGTGTTGCTCAGTTTCTTGACCAATATGGAGACTACAGGATACAGCAACAGTTCAGGTTGTTAGCTGATCAAGCAAAGAGGGACTGCGAGGATATACTCGAGACTGCAGGAATAAAAGGAATGGTGCAGAGTAGATCAAAGAAACATGCTTCGCTGCAAAAGAAGCTCAAGGACATGGCCAAAGATATTGTTTTCGTCGAAACGATCTCTGGAGATGCGACGGTCGACGATGAATCAGAGGACGTCAAACAGTATCACGAAGGAGATATTTATGATCACCCGGAGATGGGAGATCTGGCAGGCATTCGTATTGGCTTATACTTCCCTGCCGATGTTCGTAGGGTCGCAGAAGAGATCAATCGACTCTACGATGTAGCGCATACCTTCGGCACGGTTCAGGACACGCGAACGGTAGTTACAGAAAGAAACACAGATATCGAGGCGCACGGCAACGGTCGATGGATCAGTCAAAGTCCTGGCGAGGATGTCCACCACTGGGAGCACTACGGATACAAGTCTTGGCAAGTGGTTGTTCAATGGAGACGGCCCTATCCTGAAGCACTCAGCGCGATCGAAAAGGCTCTAGCGCCGACCAACATCTTTAACTCATTGAAAATTGAGATCCAAGTCGGAACCATCGTAACGCAGGCCTGGGCCGAAGTACAACACAACATTATTTACAAGAACCCTTACAAAATCGACAAAACTCCGACTATGCTACGAATGATCGACGCTATCAACGGTCTAGCCATCAACACTGATATCATGCTCAATGAGCTTGAGAAAAGCCTGGAGCAAGCCAAGCTGGAAGCTGCCGCTCGACGACAGGTTGAGCTGGCCCAAGCATGTCTCGAGGACAATATACAGAGGGTGAAGGAAATGATGGAGGACGGTGCTGACATAAACCACGCGGATGAAGAAGGTGACACGCCACTTCACCGGGCTTGCAAAGGCGGTAGTGATGAAGTGCTGGAATTACTTCTTGCCGAGGGGGCTAAAGCAGATGTGCAGAATAGTGCGGGCTGGACGCCACTACACGAAGCGTGTGACACTGAAAACGATTGGGTAATGGCACGACTGCTCTCTCATGGCGTCGATATAGAGATCAAAGAGAATATGGGAAATACGGCACTTCATTTGGCTGCTTTCAGAGGGTTTGATGGAAAGGTTCAGCAACTTCTTTCTTACGGAGCTCGGACGGACAGTAAGACGCTTAGGGGCATGACTCCGTATGACTTGGCTTTGAGGAGAGGGAAGTATGATGTTTTGGCGATACTTGAAGAATACCAGTAATGGATGTGTTTCATTCATACAGTCTGCACAGTCTATGACTGTTCGCATGCCATTGGCCTATTCCATAGACCCTAGTAGAAGTAGAATATCATTCTTCAAACCCAGTATATACCCTTGTAACCGACCACGCTAAAACAAAATCCTGCGTCCCCTCAGCAGGGTTAAGCATCTTCTGCGCGACGACTTGTACAGTGACCGGAGTCCGAGGTACCGGGCAAAGAACAATCTGCTCTACATTGTTCTGCTTACTCATGTCGTCCTCGGAGACGCCACCGTGGTGGAGCGCATCCGCGGAGTGATCAATGAGGGCCAGGTTCAGATTATTCTGCATCATCGCACCAGGAAGGTCGTTGTAGACCATGGTAACTTTAAGCTCGAACTTGCTTCTGTCTTCATTACTGATCAAATCGGGACTAGGGGGATCGAGGCTGAAGGAGAATGTGTCGAGGTGCTTGAGGGGTGGTCCGATGAGTGTGCCGCCAGGGTATGAGGGGAGAGTGATTGTGCCTGACAAAGTCTCATGGTGAACAGCACGGGTCTCGAGCATGGAGGCTGAATTCTGCAAGTTCACCCGGCCAAAGCCTTGGGCTTCCATGTCAACATTGGGAAGCCTGTTGGCGCCGTTGATGATGATTGCTTTAAGTAGTGCAGCAGGCGGTGATGATGAGGGAAGGCTTCCGTTCTTCTCTTGGAAGATCTCGCGCAGAATTGCAGCGCAGCCAGCGACAAGCGGCGTCGCGTGGCTTGTACCGCTCCGGACCTTCCAGAGAACATTGGCGTATTCCTCGCTCTTCGCCTTGGCAGCGGAGTAAGTAACGCCCGGGTGCCTGGAGTAGGCGGAAAATATATTGTAACCCGGCGCCACGACATCAGGCTTAGTACGCTTCTCCGCCGTGGGGCCGCGAGAACTGTCGCTGAGGACCATGTCTGGATTGAAGACGAGGAGGTCAGCTTGTGCTCTTTCCGCGCTACCTGCCGTGGCAGCTGTCTCGGGTGTGAGCTTGCGCGTTGTGCCAGATGCTCCGACTGTCAAGCAATTCTTCGCGGCGGCTTGCGATCCGATGGATGGTTTGGTTTGGTTCTGAGGCCACTTTTCCAGCATCTTCTCGTTGTTGTTACCGGCGGAGAAGATGATGAGGGCTTGTGGATTGTCGCATACGAATTTATCGATGGCGAATGCGCTGGCGCCATAAACCCTCTGGGCGGAATAAAGGCCCAAAGGATCGCCCCAGGAGTTGGAGTGGATAAAGGCGTTGTGGTTTTGATACGGCTCCTCAAACAGGGTCTTGACATCTATCACTGCCTTGAGAGTGCGACGATCTTGAAGCAGTGAGGTCATGATCAACTTTGCTTCTGGGGCAACGCCAGTCACAAGGCCATGGTCTGTATGAATGCCCTTCGCGACGATGGTGCCACAGACGTGTGTGCCGTGACCTTGAGGATCGTCGACGGTCCCTGCGGCAGGACTGGTGTCAGATGATCCCCCAGCTCGCCCAACAGAGATGAGTCGTTCGATACTGCCGCTGAAGGCGGGGTGACAGTCGCTGCGACTTCCTAGATCGAATCCAGTATCATTGACTGCGATGGTTTGTCCCTTGCCATGGTAAGGCGACAGATTGATTGCCGCTTCTCGCAACTGGCCACCACCCATCACAATCTCCACTGCCTTGCTGTCATGGAGCTCTGGTATAATGACCTCCTCAATGATGCGGACATTGTCATCTTGAGCAATAGTTTGTAGCTGTTGCCAGGTTGCGGTAAGGCGTATTTTGCCATCACCCAGCTCAAATTCAGCGCGGTTCAGATCTGCCTTGGCTGCTATGGAATCTGCAACGGTGTCTTGATCGACTCCAAAGTTGTGGATCATGACGTCTAATGTGCAGGGGATGACTTCCTTCTCCGACTGTGACTTGAGAACTTCATGAAGTACATCGCGCAAGTTTTCGGGGATCTTCATGACATTTCGGTAAACATCTACCTGGCGGACGAATGTGTCTAGGGCTCGAATGGGACCAAGGTCTGGAGGATCATAGTGACAGAGATAATTGAGATTGCCAAGGTCCTCCAAGATGTTCACGCCAAGGTCTTCAAGTGTGATTTGTTGTTGTTGGGTAAGGATGTCTTTGAGGGTAACAATGATGTGACAGGTATACTTTGCGTTCTCAGCATAGTGCTTCTTCGGGTCAACAGTGATGCCATTGACCTCGATAACCTGAGCATTGCTGGGTGGAGTGACGTCCCCCATGGTGACAAGGCTATGCGCTAAGGACGTTTGAACTGGCAGTGTGGGATGAGGAACGAATTCTTTTGATCGAATGCCACAAGAGGGATCAACAATCTGCAAGTATTGTCCTTAATATGCTTGACCCTCCTCCCTAAAAAGCTAATCCCGCCAGTTATGCTAGCAAAGAGAATCCGCGACGAGCTATCTTGAGACATCCAGAGTTCCATACCGGTCAGCCGATTTCACAGCAGCCAGCCACTATCACACCAGCCAGCCATTATCACAACGTTCTGCTAATCGGCACGAGTTCTCTGATACCTTGTAGGATGCTGCAGTCCGATTTCGGTGCAATGCCGCTGGCCAGAAGTATGCCTACATTCCTAGCGATCATTTGGAGTTTCAGCTCCGAGCTTGTATTTGCGATATTGTCAACTTTGGCAGGTTTCGTTGAGCTCATTGGCTCGTCTGGGCTCGTGCAGATGAGACACAGATTCGATAGTGCCTGAAAGTGTCTCATCTCTCCAACTTGGATGTGTCACTCGGCGAGAGAATCTTCATGCTACGGGAAACGATAGTCACCCTCGAATAGGCTAGACTTTGACAAAATCAATCCGTTAAGAACGGGCGAACCCGTCGGGCCAATATAGATCCCTGTTCTACACCAATACTTACCCATGAAAGTGTCACTAACGGCATAGCGTCATGGAGGGACGGCAGCTGAGACTGGGGTTTGCAGCCACGCCCGCCGTCATGCCAATAATCTCACCAATCCTAATTTGTGATTTGCCATCGTGGGCACAACGGGAAAAGTGGCTAGGTCCCGACACTAGTATTGACGGCTGGAAACGTTGTAGACTTGCCCGGAATTAGACCTGCCTGGACAAGGATAAACAATATCCTGTATTCGCTGGCTTAACTTAGCGTTGAACTAGACCTCGTTTAGAGAACTCCTCCAATTGAGGCAAGGTTTTACCCGCCTATGTTCCTAAAGCGTGACTTAGGCCGCAGGCATGAGAACATCTAGCCGAGGCCGCGCAGCCAGCCACTCAAGGTCCAGAGACCACACTGCATCCACCAGTTAACATTTCTTCGGACGCCATGACCGTTTCTATGAACTCTTGCATGGGGTTAGCGATATAGTGCATGCTCCGGTGGCGGATGGCTCGCCGTTGATGCCCAGCCAAATAGTTCACATGCGCAAAACCTGGTCTAGGTCTAGCTATGGTAGTACATTGGCTTGGCCTCTTCAGGAATATGACAGTAAAGATCAAAATCTGTTATCCCTTTCTAGCGCTCTTTGAATTTTAGGCGAAGGTGTTGTATGCATGTTTGAGACAAAAGCGCTTCCGCTTCAGTTGGTGCGGGGTCAGGTTGCTGGGGCCTGTCCGGTCGTAGTTCGGCTGTCGTAGTCTGTGCGCTACAAACTGAAGATAGTGAGTGAACAGATAACCAAATTTGATCTTTACAGGAGTACTCTTCTGAGACATGCTTTCGAAACCTTGCCTCTACAAGTCATAACTATCCCTGACTCAGCCAGCCCCGGCATAGCCATGGCGATAGTGTCATGTACACTTGCGCATGCAGAGCAATCCTTAGCTTACTCTCGACTTCCTACCTCGTCTTCTGTGGTGGTCGAGACTGTGATTGAGCTGTTATCGTGAGAAACGTAGGTATGGTGTTCGTATCTAGACATCAATAATCGTGCCACACATGCATCAAGTTTAGCCGTGCTTGATTTCAGCCAGCCTTTCTACAGCCTGGCCAAGTCCAGAGTCTCAGTCGTGCTTGACTTCAGCCAGCCTCTCGAGGGCCTAGCCAAGTCTCCAGGTATCTCCCATGAGATTCTAAGGTTAGTGGACGCGAATCTTGGGATGTCTCGTACTTTCCTGCAAGACAGCGGTTCCTTCACACATTCAGACTATATCTGTAAACACTAGCTCCTTGAGGGCCTCTCAGATATAAAAAGGCCTAATATTCCTCTCTATCGAAAATCACTACCAGAACCACAACCACAACAACAAAGTCTACAATCCCAACCAATAGTTCTTCTTACTTCTTCAACTCCCTTCTTGGAAACGCACATCAATAAAAATGGCCACCACCACTTCCAACCCCAGCACTACCGTCAGCACAGTTACTACTGTCATTGAGGTCAAGGACCTTGGTGACGGCAAGTATGAGCTGAACGAGATCCAGTCTGACCCCTTTGTTCCCCCTGAGGTCCACAGCAACAACCGCAAGCAGGTTGATGTCCCACTCCCTGTCCCCGGCCTCGGTGTAAGTGTTCATGCCAGCATCTGAAAGAGATGTACTAACAAGAATCTGAACTAGATCACTGTCTACCTCGACATCGACGACAAGGAAATCGGCGCCTATGCCACCATGTTCGGCTCACAGATTGGCAGCTCCTACAGGGCTGGCCTTGACTCGGGAATCGAGATTGGTATCAACCTGTTCCTCGCCAAGGGCAGTGTCCGCGTTTTTACCAAGAGTAACCGAGTCAAGTTGGCTTACAGCCTTGAAGCTGGGGTTGGTCCTTTCTCCACCTCTCACAATGACGAGCTCGATTTGTTCGGCTTCTAAAGGGGACTTCCGTCATTGTACTACCTTGTTTTCTTGGGAGGATATGAGATCAAGACTGCTCGCTATGTAGACTGTGGAAATAAACATTTTTAAATCTAAATATTTATCATCGCGATTTATACTACTGTGACGATCTGAGAGGCTCCAACTGTGGAGGATCCGGAACAGGTTCTGGGACTCCGCCTAGTATGGGCGGATATTCCATTTGAACTATCTTAATAGGGTCTAGCTGTATATCCATGTTGCTTAGATTGTGGCCTTGACAAGGTAGTAGTTAAGATTAATTCAGGTTTCTGGGGAAGCCCATGTTAGCTTAATCTAATCTAAGCGCAGAACCCACAATACGTGGGGATATTATTCTTCTATTTAAGTTACGTACGTCACGTTGCAGTTATTTTATACGATTGTGCAGGTTGAAGGAGTATGAGAGTTTGAAGGATTGAGAAATGAATGATCTACTTACTAAATTCAGTCAAGATCGCCAGTCGAAGGAGCTGATGAAATCCTTCAGACAAGGATCAAGGCCGGTATAACCACCATGCCAATGTTAGGATTAAGTATAATAATGTAACCTACGATAGCTTCCAAGGAACTAAACACAGTCAATGACGCATAATGGTCAAATGGCCTCAGCTTCAATTGAAACCATGTATACAATAAAGTATATAAAATGTCCTCACACCGTGCTGTCTCGATACTCAACCAAACACTCAACGACAACGCCAACAATTCAATCACAGAAAGAACTACTTCCTCAAAAGGAATCATACAATAAAACCTTCCTCCACTACAATTCAATCTTATACATCATGGATTTCAAATCCTTCCTCCTCGCTGCTGTCATGGCCATGTCCGCACATGCCGAGAACAGGGTCAATGTCTTCTACTCTATGGACCACTTCTCTACTATCGCCGGTCCCAAAGGTGGCAACGTTCACGGCCACAGCAGCGGTGTCACCGTTGCCGATATGGAAGGAAAGCCAATCTGGAACGACAAGGAGCCAGGAGGTGTGCTTGCCTGTATAAACCCCAACATGGAGCTTAGGATCTGGTCGTCCTGCTGGGACGGAGAGTACATCTTCAACTGTGGTACGGATCTCTTCGCGAATATTCAGGGTTGTGGTGTGGAGACCAGTGGAGGAAGGTCTTTTAAAGGAGAGGTAGACGCATCGATTGATTTCATTGGGATTGCTATCTCCTTGTCGAATACCTGTTCGCTCAGTATTCCAACCCGAGATAACTGCGACGGTGCTACTTTCCATGTTGTCGCACACAACCCTTAGATTAGATTTAGCTCTAGGCAATCTGTGTAGTTGAATAGCAGTGGGATGTATATTCACGGAGATAATTTATTTTACGTTGTTGTAGAAGGCCATTGATATAAACAAAAGACATTAATGAATCAATAACCGTCTTCATGTAAAATCCAGATAGCCAAGATCTCTTAAAGCGACTGGGGGCATATCAGGCAGTGGCGTATCCACACATTTTGCTTTAAGACTGTGTTCACCGTGCTTGTATCTCCAGTAGTTTAATCTTCTAACTTCGATATTCTGGAGTTGAAACGGCTCCTTGAGTTGTTCTCATCGCCGTTTGGTTTAAATCAATCCCATCATAGAACTGTTTACTAATACTAAATACCATTATCTAGGCCTTGGTGAACCTCAAATAAGGCTTGACCTCCCTGACATCTCCAAACTTCTTCCTCGCGTCCTCGGTACTAACCGAAGGCGGAACAATCACATCATCACCCTTCTGCCAATCAATAGGCGTAGCGATGCCCTTCTTATCGCCCATCTGCAAACTATCAATAACTCTCAAAACCTCGGCAGAGTTACGTCCTGTAGATGCAGGATACATCATTGTAAGTCTGATCTTCTTGGCGGGATCGATGACGAAGACGGAGCGGATGGTGAAGGCGATGGCTTGCTTGTCCATGTCTTCTTCGTTGATCATGTCGTAGAGGAAAGCGACTTTGCGGTCGGCGTCAGCGATGATGGGGAATTGGAGGTTTGTGTTTGAGACTTCGTTGATGTCCTCGACCCATTTGTCGTGGGAGCTGAGATCGTTGGCGCTCTGAGAAATTGTTAGTATAGTTGAACTCAATCGGAGGAAGATTGATTTACCAGGCCGATCATCTTGACTCCTCGCTTCTCAAACTCGCCCTTCATCTTGGCAAAAGCACCCAGCTCGGTTGTGCAAACTGGTGTGAAGTCTGCGGGGTGAGAGAAGAGGATTGTCCAGCTGTTGTCGATGAACTTGTGGAAGTCAATTTCCCCATGGGTGGTAAGAGCCTTGAAGTTGGGGGCTATCTCATTGTCAGTAAATCATCCATCTCCAAGTGTGGATTGAGCATACCGGTTGATCCCAATCGTAGGCGAGGCTGCTCTTGAGATGTCGCCATGAAGCGACAAGCCATTGGTGGCGCAAGAGGCTTCATGCCCATGGACCAATTGACCCTCTTGGGGAGGGCGGTGACATTGCGGAAGGTTCGGGGGATAATTGATGCCATCTTGAGTATTCTGATTTGCTCGGAGGAGGATTGATGATGAAAAGTGAACTGTGGATGAGTTTCTTTATTGCATGTCCCTTGACGCAGAACTGACGAATATGATTACATGATACGTGACGTCACGGGCGATCATTGGTGGAGAGCTACATTTCAGCTTTTCGGGGACTGCTATCACTTTAGGCATGTCCACTGCTGTAGGAACATAAATGATAAAGCATCGGGATTTGGTTCCCTTGAAGTCATTTCTTTTCCTTGGCTTCATGGAAACCAGTGCTTCTTAATTGGCTCGAGGTTGCCAGGTCGTTGTTTTGCTCTGGTTTGGCGTCACGCATGTTATCTTATCTATCTCTATCTTATCGATTGACACAGACCTACCCTGCACGACCTGAGAATCAACCGCCTTCAGGACGTCCAGAGTTCATGTAATCGAAAACTGTTGTTTTATTATGTATGCATTGCCGACGACCCTACTATCAGATATATCACTAGAAGACCCCGAGTATCAAGTAGTCTGGACTTAATCAAAGCTTCTTCTCGAGACTAGAAAATGGTAAACGCGTTTTCGTGTGCCGCAAACCGAGGCACGGAGTTATTTTCCACAACCGAATTCACTCCAGCATCCGTAGAGACGTGGAATACTTTGAATCAATAGTTCTGAAGATGCTATTCCTGATATCTCCTACCATCCAGTGTGTTTTTATTATTTTTATGATCATGGAAAGTCTCACTTCCATTTCATTCGGTCGCTCACCAGCCACAACATGGCGCAGGCTTTTTCATGCCGATTGTGAGGCCTCAGGCACCCACCTTCCAGGTCCTAGGCCAGCCAGCCCAGAATACACAAACAACACACCCCGCCCGTGTGCCTATCACATCCATGATTCTATGTGCCCACCTCTTGACTACAAACACAGGAGCATCAGCCTGCAATACATCTACACCCTACAAAACAATGAGATCGACAAGCCCAGCCAAAATGGAACCCAGCTCTTTAGATTTGCTTCGAGAGCTGCACGGCGACTTGAAGCGCAAATGGAAAGCCCATGGCCCCAAGGTCGAAACTGCCTGGCGATCATTCAACAAACCGCAGCGAGCAGAATGCATGGAGACTGGAGCATTTGAGGGAAAGGTCTTGAAACATTCCCGGGATACCTCGCTAGGCAACGTGTGCTGGTTTATACCTGAGTGGAATCTGGAGGATATCACGGATCCCGAATCGAATCTGTTGCTTGACATACTCAAGCACCGTGCTACAAAATCACTGTCTCAGCAATACCGCAGCGGCCACAACGGGACTGCTGGAGATCTTGATCTTATTGAAGATATGGCGCGAACACGAAACATGCGCCCTGTTGGGGACTTTGAGAACTGCTTCACAGTCTTCTGTAAAGGTAAGTATGGATTCTCGTTCCACGTTAATGCTGGTCAGAAAGGCAAGGAATTCCTATCAGGACTGGAGTCAGCCTTTCAGCAACGAAAAATTATCCCACAATCGCTGGGAGAGCTTATTCTTCGGCGTCAACTTGTACTGCTTCAAATACTCAACATCATGATTGAAACTGTTCTGCACGAAGACTCCGAAACTAGAGATCGAAGCCAGCTGGCCGAGAAACCCAAGCCTACGACCACTCCTCTACCTAGTTCTGTGTCCAAGCAGGCCACCGCCAAGCTCAACTCCCAAGATCTTTCCGCGATTGCTTCCGACCAGAAATCGTCTCTTCAAGAGTACCTGTCGCTTCTTCGCACAGAACCCGACGTTCTTTGTTCCAGCGTCAGCGTGGAGTTCTTCAGCCGCCCTGAGCTTTTGCCTGACGAAAAGGGCCGATCCCTGTCAGTCCACACAGACAGGTACGTTGGGCAATTGTGTTCATTTGAGCTGTACGACTCGATAACTGACCCATAAAAAATTCAAATAGATACATTGGGCCTGCCGTCTTCGAGACAATTCACAATGCATTCCAAGGGATCGCTTCCTGGGATTCTATCACTGGATTGCTTGACCTCCTCGCGAAGCTATCCGCTGATAAGCTGTACAAGTCCATGGTTCTCCAAGAGCTCTCTAATATGTGCCATTTCGAGTACGCCCGCACTCAAGCCCTGTTCAGGCGTCATATCGCGACAGGAACCGGATCGAAGTGGTTCAAAAGGCTGTCCAATGTATACGATCGCGGAGGAAATGCCAAGCTCTCGATGAAGTGCAAACCGGAGGAACTCACACGATCCGATCCCCAGCTGCACTACTTGTTGCGACTTTGTCAGCCGGAAACAACTATCAGTCAGGCTGTCGAGTGGATGCAAAAGCTCACCAATCTCTATAAAGCGCATCCGTTGGAGCGAGAAAGTCTTTTTGAGAAAGAGTCTCGTACACTTTACGACATGGCTGCAATTGTCGTCTTCGTCCAGGATCTCTCTGCTGTATACTCCCTTCCCTCTTCGTCGCGCAAGAAGGGTACTCTGCTCGTCGCTAGACTGCAAGAGGTTGACGTCGAACTTGGCAAGATAAAGAAAGAGGTTGACCTGCGCGACTTTGCTGCACCGATTATCAATCTTATTGAGCCTGGCGTGTCCCAGAAGGCACTGGAAGCCCTCGACCAGTTCGTGATCGAAAAGACAGACGCAAAGATGGGATCTATGTACCAAGATGAAATGAAGAAAGCATTTCAAGATATTGAGGGGCAGTACCAGAAGGCCAAGGAGAAGTTGAACAAGCATACCAAGGCGGATCTTGTGCCCATGAACACTACTCATGCGGACGCAAAGGATCGAATCGAGACCCAGAAGCGAAAGGAAAAGACACGCCCAGAGCATTCCTCTGTCTACAAGATCACCAAGACCACAGACTTTGATGAAGAGAACAAGGCTGTGGAGCCACCTTCACCCGTAAACGTCAGTCCATCGACAGCTCAAGTCTTTGCAACTATATTCGACAAAGCTCAGTCGCGAGGGTCACTAAGCTGGACCTCTTTTGAATCGGCCATGGCAGAACTGGGATTCTCGGTGCTAGCCCGATTTGGCTCCGTTTACACGTTCAGACCGTCTGAGGATATGGATATCAAGAGGTCCATCAACATCCACCGACCTCATCAGTCCCAGATTGAGGGGTATGACACCCTGATTTTGGCCAGACGCTTGAGTCGAGCTTATGGCTGGAACGAGAATTCATTTGTAACTGAATAAAGAGTCTTGTGTTGCAAGTACTGTAACGGTTGCGCCTGACCGTTAGGCCGCAGGGCAGAGGATTGGGCTATAATCACTATAAGCGAGTACAGTAGTGCTTGCAGCTGCCTATAGAGCATTATAGCGCTGTTACAAGAACCAATCGTAACAAGCACACGCTCAGAGGGATAGTGTCCCTCGGAAAATAAGACAGAATATACATGAGCTATCATTGTAATATTAATAGAACTCTTTTAAATAGCAAAGAGAGTCATAATATATACTTATGGGGTTTGCTTTTTAGGTTCAAAAATTGTAGTCCGAGTTACGCCAATGGAGGCCACGCTCACTTCGTTTTTGTCGAGAGATGTTTCCAGCTAGTATCTGGATTGGGAAGGCGGTGAAGAATGACGAGTGGGAGGGAAACACAACTTGACCATCCTGTAACATTACCTACATCGATCAACAAGTCCTTCATTTCAGTCCAACAAATAATGTCAAAAAAGATGAATCCTCTCATTCTAGCGGGTGGGAAGTCCACCAGAATGGGCAGACCAAAACATCTCCTTCCAATGCCAGATGGACGTCCACTTTACCAGCATCAAATCGACCTCCTACACAGGTCATGCCCTGAGGCTGAAACCATCTACATATCTCTCGCACACGATTCTGAGCTGGACGACTTCCTTCAACAAACTTCAAAACAACCACAAACCATCACACCCGGAGGTCCAAGTATTAAAATAATTATGGACACTGAAACGAGTCAATCTGAAGAGTCCAAAGGACCAGCATCCGGCATCCTCGCTGCTTTCCAACACGATTCTAAAGCAACATGGCTTGTCGTCGCATGCGACTACCCATGCATCACAGCGTCTGCCTTAGATCAATTAAAGTCAGAGTACAAATCGCCTGTCACTTGCTTTCGAAACGTGGAAGGCTTTTGTGAGCCTTTGTTGGGGATATGGAGTCCAGAAGCGATTAGACATCTGAAGGACAATTGTGAGAAAGGCAAGCTGAGCCCTAGTAAAGCTGTCAAGGAACTTGGTGGACTTGTGATTATTCCGGATGGGGATGCGGATGTGGTGTTGAAGAATGTTAATACGAAGGAGGAGTGGGAGAATGCCTTGCAATTGTTTTCAGATACATCGTAAGGATAATGGCAATAAGCCGAACGTTTGGAAATCTAATTTGTGTTACAGTATTGAAGTGTCGTTCATAGGATAACAAGAAACCATCTGTCCCGCCTCAAGCCTCTCATTCGCCTCAATATGAATCCAACAGTTCGCTTCCACGAAAGGCTTCATCTTCGCAGGTCCCAAAACACCAGGCGCGTCATGCACCGTGGGCTCTCTACCAGTCAAGTCCAATACACCAGGCCTAAACCGATCACAGTTCAATCCTCTGTTCGGCGCATCCATGTTACTCTTCCTCGCCGAACTTCCAAGTTCAAGGTTCTCCAAGCGTGCAAGCATGGGGTTCTCTGGCTGCTGTCCGAGTAGTAGCTTTATGTAAGGGACGGTCAAGAACTTGAAGCATGCAGCTGCAGCGCCTGGGTTTCCTGGCAACCCGAAGAAGGCGACCTCGCCGAAGGGTGACGGTAGAAGCGCGAAGAGAACTGGATGGCCTGGCCGGATTGATACACCATGAAAGACGATCTTGGCTCCGAGGATTTCCAGGGCTTGCCGCACGTGGTCGAACTTTCCAACTGACACGCCTCCACTTGTGATCATAATATCCGTCGATAAAAGCTCTAGCCTCTCTCTGATGGAACACACCAGGGACTCAACCTCGTCATGGATTGACCCCATGAAAGTAGCTTCCGCTCCGGCCTCTTTACTCGCAGCCGTGAGATAGACACCATTGACGTCCCTAACATGCGATGTCTTGGAAGTCAACTCATTCCCCGTTGACCAGATACAAACCTTCGGCCTCTTGAGCACCTCTATCGCATCAATTCCCACCGAAGCAAGAGGCATGATATGGGAAGCCCTCATCAAAGACCCCTTCCTCAAGACAACCTTTCCCTTCTGAATATCCTCCCCCGCAAACCTCCGGTTCGCATATCTCGGCACAGGTTTACTAACCGCAATACATGGGACCTCCCCTGCAATTCGAACCGTATCTTCAACCTTGACACAAGCATCAAGCACTTCCTCTCCTTCGGGAAATTGTGCACCGGTCATGATTTCAACACAGGAATTCAAAGCCATATCATCTTTGGGGGAAATAGATTTCGGTTTGTCGCCCGCTGCGATCGTACCGCGTATGCAGAAAAATACGGGTGTTTCTGGAGTTGCGAGGTTTGTGAGAGATGATGATATCGCATAGCCGTCCATGGCTGAGGTGTCGAATTCGGGTGTTGAGATTGGACTCAGATAATCGCGTGCTGCGACGCGACCGATGGCTTCGGCCAATGATACCGTTTCATACTTCTTCGATTCATCTTGGCTGTTCTGAATTTGTGACGCTGCTTCTTCCAGTTTTGACCGCGCGGCTGAACAAGTCGTCGCCATTTCGCAATTGTCGTATCAATTTAATATCTGCCTTTGGTGTTCTTGATGCTGACCCATGAGGGTTTCCATCTCCATAATATCTGCTCCCCGGAGATACATCAACGCAATGCGGATCAGCATAATATAAGCTAACCCCAATCAAAATAGTGTTTCTGGAGTAGAGTTTTTACTCGTCATTAGTAGGTCAAATGTTCCAAAGACTTGGGTCATTTACGTCATTAGCTCTTCAAACGTAAAATTGGCATCATACTTCCAGCATCGATATTGAAAAAATGTGCTTTTGTTGGAGTCAGGATACCGAGCTTGCCGACCAGATGGTTTCGTAGCCAGTCAACTTGAGTTTATTACACACCGCCAAGAGCAAGGTCAGAGAATATTGAACAGAAGAATCCTGCTACTGTTGTATCAATTGAACTTCTCATCTGCTGGCCTCTGCCTCGAAAAGATGCCGAAAGTCAACATCGACACGGTCGGGAACCCCCCCAAAGACTGCTCTCGTGACTCTATTGAAGATATCTGGGGTCCCAGAACACCATATGTGCATCAATGGCCCACCAGAGTTGATCATGCCTGTGATGAGACGCCTGATAAATGGGTTCAGAGTGCATGCGTTCTATGCAGGTACGTGAACATGCCGTGTCGATAAATCAGTTGTTAACATCTCATGTAGCAACGGATGTGGCCTTGACCTCGGAGTCAAAGATGGCAAAGTCGTCGGCGTGAGAGGTCGCGCTGTCGATCGCGTCAACAAGGGACGGCTGGGGCCTAAAGGCTTGAACGGCTGGAAAGCGATTCATAGCAAAGACCGCCTGACGCACCCATTGATCCGTCGCAATGGAAAGCTTGAAGAGGCGACGTGGGATGAAGCCATGGACCTCATCGTCAAAAAGTCGAAGGAATTGGTTGAGAAGTTGACGGCGCATAGTATTGCGTTCTACACCAGTGGGCAATTGTTACTTGAGGAGTATTACGTGCTTGCTTTGATTGGAAAGGCGGGACTTAACACCCTTCATATGTGAGTGCAGACAATCTTCACTAAGAGCTGGTAGCTAACGGATCGGTAGGGACGGAAATACTCGCCTTTGCACCGCGACTGCAGCGGCTGCCATGAGAGAATCTTTCGGCTCTGATGGACAGCCAGGCTCTTATACGGATATCGACTACACGGACTGTATCTTCATGGTAGGCCATAACATGGCCGCCACTCAAACTGTTCTGTGGTCCAGGATTCTCGACCGTCTAGCTGGACCCCATCCACCAAAGCTCATCGTCGTTGATCCGAGATACTCCGAGTCAGCGAGCAAAGCAACAGTCCATCTTGCTCCTAAGATTGGCACCAACCTTGCTTTGCTGAACGGTATTCAGCACTTGTTGTTCAAGAACAACTGGATCAACGATGACTACATCTCTAAACACGTCGTCGGCATCGAAGACCTGAAGAATACCGTAAAGGGTTACGATCCCGAAAGAGTCTCGCAAATCACCGGCGTACCTGTCAGCAAACTCGAAGAAGCAGCCCAGCTCATCGGCCAAACTCCCAGTCTCTTATCGTCAGCCCTTCAAGGCGTGTACCAATCCAACCAAGCAACCGCAAGCGCCTGTCAAATCAACAATATCCATCTCCTACGCGGTCTACTCGGCAAACCTGGCAGTGGTATTTTCCAGATGAACGGGCAGCCCACCGCCCAGAATAATCGTGAGACCGGCTGTGATGGAGAGTTCCCTGGTTTTAGGAACCACCAGAACGCTGCGCATATGCAAGACCTAGCTGATCTGTGGAATATTGAGAGTATCAAAGTTCCGCACTGGAACCAACCTACCCATATTCACAACATGTTGAACTTTATGGAGAAGGGGTCTATTAGGATGGTTTGGGTGTCGGGTACGAATCCGCTTGTCAGTTTACCCAACCTTGCCAAAATCAGGGATATCTTTACGATGCCTGAGTTATTCGTCGTTTGTCAGGATCTCTATATGACTGAGACTGCCGCCGTGGCCGATGTTGTCCTTCCTGCTGCGCAAACGGGCGAGAAGACTGGTTGTTTCACAAATGTTGACAGAACAGTGCATTTATCGCACAAAGCTGTTGATCCACCTGGCCAAGCAAAGGCAGATCTGGATATCTTCTTGGATTACAGTCGAAGAATGGGCTTCAAGAACAAGGATGGTGGTCCACTGACGCCTTGGACTGAACCTGAGGAGGTTTTCAAGGCTTGGCAGCGACTTTCTGCTGGTCGACCTTGCGATTATTCTGGCATGTCTTATGCGAAGCTTACCGGCGGTTCGGGCCTTCAGTGGCCTTGCAATGAGGACTATCCAGTCGGAAAAGAACGGCTCTTTGATGATGGGATATTCTTCACGGATATCAACTACTGTGAGAGCTATGGACACGATTTACAGACTGGTGTGCCGTATTCGGAGGATTACTACAAGGAACTCCGCCCAGCAGGTCGCGCCATTCTCAAAGCCTGCGATTATGTACCTCCGTACGAAGACACGGACGACGAGTATCCTTTGCGATTGTCGACGGGACGAAATGTGTTTCAATTCCATACCAGGACCAAAACTGGACGAACAGCCCTGCAGAATGCGGCACCCGACCCTGAGATTCGGATCTCTGAGAAAGATGCCCCGAAGTATGATCTAAAGACTGGAGACATGGTGCTAGTCAAGTCGAGGCGCGGACAGGTTGAAGTTAAGGTGAAGATTGGCAAGATCTCGCAAGGACAGGCGTTCATTCCGTTCCATTTTGGATATTTTGATTTAAAGGACGGAAGAGCAAGAGCTGCGAATGAATTGACTATCAGTAAGTACAACAACTTCGACTAATCTATCGTGGTTTACTAACAGCCATTAGCGGAATGGGATCCTATTTCCAAGCAGCCAACCTTCAAATCAGGTGCCATATCTATTCAAAAGATCCCATCTGACGGAACAGTCCCAGTCGCCAAAGAGCAACAATCCGCAGCTGTCGCCAGAGCAGAGAATTACGATGCCGACGATTCGAAAGTTACAAAAGATGATCTTGACAACCGTGAGCGCCAATTAGAAACCTGGCTAGGCGAAGCCTTTGAAGCAATCATTCTCCTGAAGGAAATAACAGAGGAATTATTCGGCCATCTAATTCACGACTCAGAAGCCCACTCTGGCCTTCGTATCTTGATTCAAATTACCAAAGATACTATCGATCAGTTGCAGCCTCATGTAGAGAAATTTGGAGAGAATCAAGCGAGGGGAAAACATACGGCGCATCTCCTCCGCGATGCGCTTTTTCCAAAGTCAGACACAGACAAACTGCCCGCTCAGCTTCAGGTACTAGAGGCATTGAGAAGCTTGCAGGTTTATCTAGCGCATTTACGCGTTGGATTGGACGCGCTGAACCCTGTTAGTCAAGCAATGTGGGACGGGGACTTTTTCGATGCGGTGATTTATGCGATTTCGCAGGTTAAGAGGATGCAGGATTGGGTTACCGAGCAGATCAAGGTCAGGGCCCCGCAGGCTTTGCTGGTCCCTTGTAAAGTTGAGTGAGCATGACGCACCTTCAACTTGATGATGACACTGTAGTGCTGGATATACAACGGGTGTAATGAATCGACTAGTGAGATCTCTGACGACATGGGGTCACTTCCAAGTTTTGGGCCGATAAGCGACGGGCCGGGCAGAGGCTAAATATGGAGTGCGCCCTGCCAAGAAAGTGTCTTCTCTGTTTCTGCCATCATCTCGAGAATCTACATATTTGTTTCAATAATCCGTTTCAATAATCTATAATTATCGCGACAATGTCCTCAGTATCGCAACCTCAGCCTGCGCATGTGGACCAGCGAGGATACACCGCTGAATCGATGGAGATGAGCCAACCGAAGGCTCACCAGCCCATGGGTACGTTAATTGATAGTTTGATGAAGACGGAATTTTAACGTGGCTCGTCAGATGCCCAGAAGCCTCAGGAAAGCTCTGAGCCCGAGCTCAATCTCAGAGGTGGTGAAGATTGTGGTGGTTGGTGTCGTGGTCGATTCTGCTGCATTATTCCTTGCCCGATCCCCATCAATTGTTGCATCATCCCTCTCTGAGCGCGTCACTGTATCAGAACGACGAAGGACGGGTTTCCCGCTTAATTTACGATTTAATGTATTACTTTCAGTTAAACATATACGTCAAATATTGATGAAGCTTTCTGTTCTCATCTCATCGCAATCGGAGATTGACCCAACGACAAAATTTATAGACTACAAAGTTTTTATTAAGTCAAATCTGGATAAGAGAATCAATTCATTTCGCAGCGATGCATATGGCCTTATGATAAGTGATTAAAATGCCATTTCTGTAGGGATAAAACAGCGCACCGAGTGACATTCCCATTCGCTGGTGAGGGCCCATTCTAAGCGCCGCAGTCACGTTTCAACACAACCAACAGTCTTACCGACACGCAATAAGTATCAGTAAATTCCCCGTGAATCTCATGTTCTGTAATTTTCATAAATATTTTTAAAATGGCCCTGGACTTTGTATATCAACCTTTGTTAGAAAATGAGATTCGTCTTCTCAAGATTGAAGACGTCAAAGACACAACCAACACCTCTAAGCGCCGTCCAATAGCATGCTCAATTGAACATGTTTGCCTACCACCCGCCGCTAAAGACAAACACGACCAACAGTTCAAAGGGAAAGGAAGGACGTGGCCTGAGCTTCCTACACAACACGACTTTGCGCCTCTTTTTAGAACAGGTCTAGGGCCACACGTCGGCGAAGCTACCTCAAGACACTCAGGTGAGACGCTCGCTGGAGAGGAAGTTGATCTACCATGGAGACACGAATGGGGCGATTACATCGCTCTGTCATATGTCTGGGGCAGTCCGAAACCGTCAGACGGAGACGAGTGCCATTTTATCACCGTCAACGGATGCCCATTCAAGGTCACCCCGAATCTGTACTACGCCCTGGACCAATTAAGAAAGAGCTACAGAGTCCGGCAAGGCTTCAAACTATGGATAGACGCTGTCTGTATCGATCAGACGAATTCAGAGGAGCGCGGACACCAAGTCGCTCGGATGCGCGATATTTATCATTCGGCATGGCAGGTTGTTATCTGGCTAGGCCCGAGTGACCAGACAAGCCAGCTCGCTTTTTCAGCATTACATTGGCTATCCCAAGAGTCGAAAAGGGATAATCCGATGGAGGACTTTTACCAACAGAGTTTCTCAATTGACTTACGACCTCTCTTCATCATGTGGCCGAAATATCACAGCCCGATGAAGACGGAAGTTTACAAGGCGCTTTTCCACTTCTTCACACGACCTTATTGGCGTCGTATGTGGATTGTGCAGGAAGTAGCTATGGGAAACCCCAATACACCCATTCTCTGTGGTGACGAGTGTATTTCATGGAACGATATACACGAGGCCGTACAAGTTATAGCATCCGATGAGTCGAGATTCGGTCGCGAGATTCTTGACAGTGTTCAGCCTCAATCGTTATTGGGCTGGTCTTCCGAGGTTGCGCGGGATAGAAAGCTTCGTCAGAGAGATTGGGCACCAGAGCACATGTGGAAGGTCCAGCAAACCATGACGCGTATCCAAAATGATCAACATGCTGAAATGGGATTAAGCGGCTGGACTGACCTCGTGCGAGCAGTTAATCTTGCACGCGATGCTCTCGTTACTGACGATAAGGATCGAGTCTATGGTATCTTGGGCATAAAAGCCATTGCCGACAGAGTCAACATCAAACCAGATTACAACCTTTCCATGCCCACCATCTACTCCAACTTTGCGACCGAGCTCATGTTGACTGGCGATCTCAACATTCTTCGTTTGGCATCTGGACATGGCGGATATGTGATGGGGAATTGGGAGATCGAACACCTGCCACCAATGCTCAGAAACGGTTTCATGGCGCCCTTGGTACTACCGCTAATGGATGCCTTTTCACGGAGCTCTGAGAAGATAGCTGTTGGTGTTCCGTGCGACCACTATCTACCGTCATGGAGTGTCTGCTGGGCATGTGCTCCTAGTCCAACGGCCCAACTAGGTGGAACTTACCAGGCGGATTTAAACATGGGTCGCTCAATACCAACCTTTTCCAGAGGTCAAGCAACTCTTACGACCAAGGGGATTTTGTTGGATACGGTCACTTCACTCAGTTCATCGAACCAGGCGGAGGCTGATCCCCGATACCCTTGTAATAGTACTCCCGCGTCAAAAAGCATATATGGAGATTTCGAAGCAGCAAGAAAAGCATTTTGGAGAACGATAGTAGGCGATACGACTCCCGACGGCGACAAGGCGCCAGATTCATACGCATGGCTACTCCAGCCCAGGCTTTGGCAGAGAGGTATCGCAGGTGTTTGGACAAATGGCTTCGGCCTACATAACTTTATGCTTCGCAACTCAGGACTCAATGTCTGCGGCTTCACTATCCAAGAACTGATCTTCGGTCGCAAGAAGTTCCAATCCTGGGTTAAGCAGACGTTTCCTGGAAATGTGTATAACCCGACCGAGGAGCAGCAAGAGATGTTCTCGTGGGCAGTGAATGCTATGGCATGGAGACGGGTGTTTGGGACAAGAGATGGAAGAATTGGGATGGGCAGTGGTGCTGCTCAGCTAGGCGATAGTGTGGTTTTGCTTAGTGGTTGTAATACACCGTTAATAGTTAGGGAGTGTAATGGGGGGTGGAAGTTGGTTGGGGAGTGTTATATGCATGGAGTTATGTATGGAGAGGTCGAGGCGAAGCAACATGAGTTGGTGGATATCACTATTTACTAAGCATCTGATGAGCAATAGCTGGGAGGGCTACTAATGACGGGATGAAAGTACAAATGAGTGACATTTGTGACTGCCCAAGTATATCGTGTTTCGTTACTACAAGTCCAAAATATCGTTGAATCCATATGTTTCTCTCCATGCAGGTCGTTGTCCCAGCCAGTATTTCCCATCCTCACTGCGGGATATAGTCCTTGACCTCAGTCCCACCAACCTTGGGCGGCTTTCCATTAGCATCAGCCTTCAACCCATAAAACATCCTGGTCGAATCAATATCCGACTGCTGCATCTCCGGCGGGTCAGGAGAATAATTCATGACAGACTTCGGGTTCCGCGGTCCCAGCTGCACAGCACCAGCGCCTTCAGGCCTGAGCCCAAGTTCCGGAAGACCTTCAATAGCAAACTCATGTCGCAGACCAAGAACATGACCCAACTCATGAGTAAAGACGTTGTGCATAGAGGGCTTCCAGTCTGACGAAAAAGCATCGGAGAAGACAACTAGAGCGCTAAGGTCATCGTTGTTGGGGAAGAAGGCTCGCGCAAGAACACCGGCGCCGTCGCCGCCGTGGTAGAGCACAAAAGTAGCATCTTTCGCAAGAGGAACCCATTCAAAGGTCACACCGATGTCGGCATTATTCCACACCTCGGCAGCCTGCGCAAGTTGCATGGCCGCATAATCCGCATCATCTTGACTCTGGAAACCCGCACGCCAAGCAGCCCACTTGACAACAGAGCCAGGCTGCCAGCGCGGCACTTCCCTGTTGAAACCGACGACGATGTCAGAAATACCGCCCTGGTTCCAGCCTCGTGGAAGAGCACTCTGCGTCATGCATACGGGAGCTTTGCGGTGGGATTTGGAAGCATCTTGGTCTGTGGGTTCATTGACATTCTGGGGTTGGATGGCTTGGATGGCTTCTTCGCCGAGGTTCTGGGCTATGGCGTCGAGGAGAACCTCTTTGCCTGAGGGGCCTGGGTTGGACATTTTGGAGGGGTCAAAGGGGGTTCCGCACCAATTCTTTGGTTGAGCCAGTGTTGCGATTGAAGGGGAAGAAGTGTTTTGGAGATGGGATTGTGTCTTGTTGAACTTGTCCGTTGTGCGAGGGAGTTGTTAGTATTTATACACAAATGGAGGTGATGGCTCTTGAGAGGAAGACGATCAGCCGAAGCGCAGCATTCCTAGAGTTATTCGCTATCACAGCGCTTCCCCCAATTTATCCAGTTGCATATAGGACTAAATGAAAAATCAACATTATGATGGCATCGATAGTCCAGTTTCGGCAGTTGGGAAATTAAACGTCAGCCGCTTTTCTGTAAGGAGTTGAGGCGGCTGTTTCCCCGATTGGCTTGATGGGTACCCTTTTACAAACCACTGGCTGAATGAATAGGAGCTGAAAATATGTGACTTGTGACATTTAGATGCCCGTGGTAGATCACGATCCTTTTATGCACACGCCGGATGAGACACTCCGTCTTATCACGGCGATAAGGTTATGTTTCAAGACTAATTCGATGGCATGCCTACTACGGTGGCCAGCTGAGCAACCACTATAGATTTCATTTGAGACAATTCGTCCTGTTGCGGCTATGATCGATTGGCGGTCTAGGCCTGTCCGTCGCGGGATAGGATCTAGACTCTGGCGATCTCGATGCTTATTTGGACTTCCTTGAGCAAATGTGACGGGGAATCATTCGATGAATGGTTAATTGTATGCTCGAGGAATGTGATAACAAATCTACCCGACGGTCTTCGACACGGGTTCGATCCACTTCGCGACTTGGGTGTATTTGGCGAAAAAGCCCCGCTGTCTTGTGTTTGGTCCAACATTGCGAGAAAGGATAGCTGACCTACGTGATTACGATGATCAGACTCAGGAGTGTCGATCGCTACGCCAGTTTAGAGAATGAAGGAAAAAAAAAAA